AAAAAGTTCGAGCGATTATGTTATGAAACCTTTTTCGTGCACAGCAATACATGTTTTTTGGAAGGTATAATTGCTAGAAGAAAAAATTTGTGAAGCACAGCAAAGCTAATTGCCGAAGAGCGGCCAAGTGAACGATACTTAATGACTTAGCAGAATTGCACGATTGTAAGGTGACAAGATAAAATTAGATACAACTGCACGAATTTCTAGAACTCACCTTAAAAACGCCCAAAGAACAAATCCCTGCGTGGCTCTAACCCAAATTACATCTCACTTAGCAAACCAGGGTACACGGTCTTTAAAGTCAATTTAGGCTATTTCTCAAGGGCAAAGCGCTCGCGCACCAGAGCGAAAGAGCAGTTCCGTATCCTCTCGTTATACAAATCGTGGTTGGCGTATAAATCGCGTGCGTGCACAGCCCTCGAGGGAGAACGAGAGAGGGAGTATAGCATGCAGCTTCTAATCAAGCACCACAGCTGGGCCGCAAGGATTCCAACGAAAAAGCCAATGAGCGCATCGGACGCAGTCGCAGATCACTGTCGCAAGTAGAACTCGTCGCGACGCGCGGACCGCGAGTTCGCACTTTTCCGATCGTCCGCTCGCGATCTCGCGGTCGCTAATCACTGCAACTCAAAAATTTTATAATCCGCTAGCGAATTTCTAAACCGCATAAAAATTAACTTTGCGCATTTTCGTCGGCGAAAAAAACCCTTTGACTTACGACCTACTGCGTTTAGTTCCTCTTTTTACGTTCGTTTATACGTAACGGTCAAAGCGAAAAACTACTATGCCGGAGGAAATGTAAATATTCGTTGTTGTTATAATTAAATTTCTATCGAATATTTCATTGACAGGCGCATATGCGTCGAATGGATTGTTATATGGATGAGCAATCTTGTGTCGGCGAGGGCGCGAAAATTGCGCGTTGACTACATCAATTAACTTGGATCCGCGAAATTACGGTCATTATGCGATTATAGCTCCCCCTCCCTCCGACGCCGTACTCTTATTAAAGGAGAGTCCCCTGATTTATTTGATGACGAGATATTCATTAAAAAGAAGCGCTTCTACTCGCGGTTCATTTGTCGTTACTCCGCAACGATGTCTCGCAAAGTTTCGTAAAACATTGACGCTTTAATCGCGAGTTTATTGATGCCTGCAAACGCATCTACGCATATTGTCGAGCAGGGCAGTCGACGGTTGCGCAGTGCAGCTGTTTCGCAAATGCCACGCGTACGCTCGGAATATTACTCGGCTATGAAACTGAATAACAGCATCACGCGGCACTGACACATTAGGATTCTAAGAATTTCGAATTACCAAGAGACTACCATTGTGACGCGCGTTTAACTTTCGCCCGCGAGAGCTCGTTCGCTGCATCGCGATAAGCCACGTTGGGGGAAAAAAAATAGGAATGCGATGCCCGGGCAATATTTGAATTTAATCGTGGCTAACGAGAATTTACCAAGCCGCGCCTGCCCATCCTTCCCTCGTCATGCATAAATAGCACGTCATTTATAAAACGCCGGCGAGCCGTAAAAAATGTTTTCCCAACGCGCGCAACCTTTATAGCTCTTTAAATCGGGCTTATCAGATTATCGCGTTCCGGACCCCCGTCGTGCCTCAATAAAAGCCGCTTGCGGGATATAAATGCGGCAAAAATTAAGCCGCGGCCGCTTAACTTTCAATCAAAAAGCGAAAATAACGATTCGGCGAACGCGTTGATTCGCTTTGCGTTGCGGGTGATTCGATCTTATCCGCGATCTGCGGATTCTTCAACGACCGATCGCGCGAGTGAGCTTACAATGTCTCGGCTGATCGGTTATTTTACCGATGTTCTTTTTTTCTTTATTTTCGATAATATCTAGTTGAAGGAACTTAAATAACACGAAGAGCGTATTTTTGTCTTTCCGCTAGCGAAATTGATAACAATTTCGCATGGAAAATGTAATTTCGCGATCTTGCCGTAGTGGGTGCACGACAATTTTCTTAGTATAAAAATTCGTATTTTGATATGGTTCTTGTAAAAATATATCGAATGATTCTTCGCAATGCGGCAGCCAAAAGAGTTAGCGAATAGAAAAAGATCGACTGATAGATCGTAATCTTTTATTTATATTAGTAGTAAAAGTAATAACATTCGTTATACATATAACGTATTCCTATGAAGAATATCAAGTTTGATTAACTAACTTTGGTATAAAGCTGCATTTGTACATTATTAAAGAGAGGGAGAGAGAGATTAATTGATTGTATCTTTATTATCTGCTTTACAATAATACATATAGTGTGCAATTGCATTTTCTAATTTGGTTATGATATCATAGATTAAATCACCGAAATAAATAAATATAGAGATTTCCTCAGTCAAAAGTCTAAAGTCAACAATACTGTACAACACACAATAGCTTATAATTAATTTAGACTAGATTATTTAAAAATTGTTGAGGAACAACATCTGTGTAAAATACCCGCAAGACTACAAAGATCATACTTGAAACTAGAAATGCAGTCAAACGAGCATTTAATGACTTTTTGTTAAAATCAAAATAATCTAAATAGTAGCTCCAGTAGCACTCGTATAAGGCCTACGCGTCTAGCTCAAGAAAGTATGCACGCACTTTTCTCTTAAAGCAGTCCAGCGACGGCACATGTCTCAACGATGGAGGAAGAGAGTCCCAGAGATGGACACCCATAATCTTAAAGAACCTGCTGGCCATCTCCGTCCTCACCTCTGCAACCCTCGGCTCCGCCTGACCCACCCTACCCGGATACCTTGACTTATGCTCATTAAACAGTACAGCCAAATAGTTAGGCTCCTTCATTCGCTCATATTTGTACATGAGCAGGGACGCAAAATAATCCCTGGGCGCATCCGTGCGAAACCCACCTAGCTTTTTTCTATAGAGAGAAACTGACTCATCACGTCACAGAGAGAGAGAGAGAGAGAGTTTTCTAGGCAACGCGTGGCTTCGCCCTAGCTTTTCAAATTATCGTCGGCGCAGCCGTCGCAGTGATGACGGAGGATACGCCCGCGACCTGCCAGCGAGAGGCATTAGCAGGATTTGAGCGCGCGGACGTTGTATATCGAAGTAATTGTTCTTGACTTTGTCTTTCGCGCGCCTTCGGGGAAAGTGCGAGCAGAGCCGCGCGAGGCCTCGTTTGTTTGTCCTCTCTCTCTCTCTCTCTCTCTCTCTCTCTCTCTCTCTCTCTTTCTCTCTCTCTCTCTCTCTCCGCGATGCAATCGAACCTAAATCTCGTGGCCAAGACGTCGTGGTTGTGTTTGTGTTACCGACATCAGATTGGTGATTCTTACGCATAATAAACGATGTATCGGATCGAGAGAAGCCAGATATATTCTACCAATTTCCTTGCTCTATGCCAAGCAGTCAGTTGGATATTTCGCTGGTTGGGGCTGCGATCAGTCTTGGACCGTGGGATAAAAATAAATACGTCGGGCATAATTAATAAACAATTAGCCTCAGTCGTGTTTTCGCAACTAATAAAAAATCGCTTTCAGTCAGCTCCCGATGGAAACCGATAACAGAGAGCTTTGCAACCATTTATAAAAGATTTTGAAAAATACCAGAAAGCTTTATCAGTAGAGCAGGCCATGGGATTTCAGTACTGTCGCGTATATCTCATGGAAACTGCTTTATCAGCCGGTAAGAATGCTGTCGCTTCGCGTGGATCGGAATTTACGCTTAGAATGCGAACGAAACAGAGAACAATGCAAATTTATCATTTGAGCTTGCGACGAGCGATAATTTGTGAAATGCAAACTAAATAAGTTTCGTTCCAATAACATTTATATTTCAAATAAATCTGTACCATTTTTTCGTCTTAAATTTTGCGGAACGAAAAAAAAAAATTATCAACTTGAAATTGTAAAATCTGCGCGAATATTAATCGCCACGGGAAATTCGATCTTTTCACAAGCATTAATAATATTGTTTTCAAAGCATAGATAATCCCGAGTTATGTTTCCGCAAGATGATCTAGCACAAAAATAAACCGTACATCACGTCTCGTAGGGGCGGTCTATCCGACGAGCAGCGCAGATCGACTCTTCGCGGATCCCGGTGTCGCGCGCGTCGAGTCCCGTACAGCCGAGCAGCTTTCATCTCTCATTGTTCGAAGTTCTATATATACGAGCGCTGGCAGGTTGCCGACGAGCGTGCGTCTGTAGCATTGTGGTTGTAAGAGTGAATCGCACGTCTCGGCGAAATGCTTGTTTTGCTTTTCTGTTCGTAAAGATCGTGGGGGACTTCCCTCGGTACGCCCCATGATTGATTTCCTTTTATTTATAGCGCGCGGATTATTTTCGTTACAGGTGTGCGCCTCGCAACGGCGATTCCTTTGTTTCCGCGCAATTCACTCTTTATTAGGCCGTATCGCTTACATCTTGTATAACCGGAACCTTGTATAACTCCGTTTGCGTAATGGCAGTGGATATTTTTCTTCGTCTCCATGCGGTGCACTTGCGCGTTTCTATGAATTTTATTGATACAATGTAACGTATCGCTTCCAGTTTGAAAACGGCACCGACGATTTATGGCCACGTATGTTTCGTCGAATATTTTGATCGATGGCACCCGAACCCCGCAACGTCGGGGCACATTACGTCACGAGATTCGATCATTGATAGAACGTCGTAACGATGCCAGGAAACCAGAGGATGACAAAGTGCTCGCATGCATCTCAATTGCTGGCGCGTTGGTCACGAATGGCACAGGAGTATCTGGAAGCACCGGAAGCGATGGTTTTCCCGAGAAACCAGGAGGCGTCGCAACGGAGAAAAGTCACGAGAGCACCGCGGAAAGTATGGCAGAATGCAGGCGTCTCCTAGTCCCTGGCGCGGCGCGTCCCTCGCCGCCTTGCGGCTTCGCGCGGCACATCCGTAAATAGCCCGGAAGAGCGCTTGCGCGGCGGTGGCACCGAAAGAGCATAGTCGCCGTCTCCGCGGCCGCCTGGCGCGCAGTAGAGAATAGTCGCCCCGCCGCCGCAGCAGTGGCCGCGGCGCCGTCGCGCTCGATACCTCGCTCGCGCGCTGGCACGGGGCTGCGGCGCGGCGACAGTCGTCCCCTCCCCCCGGGTGAGAGTGCAAAGGGCGAAGGCGAGGGCGACGATGACGGGACGACGAGCGGACGAGCATCGCTGCCAGTCGCGATGACGGAAGGACAGCAGCCGAGGTATGCGACGCAGTCCACGCGCGAGCGCGACCCTGTTCGACTGGCATCGATCGCGTAACGTCAGCGATAAGCGCTTTCGCTGAATGATGCATGCGCGCACGCGAGCCTCCCTCCCTCCCTTCCGCGCCACGGCTGCTTTCCGGATCGCCGTGCGTAGAGTTCTCTGCTCGTGCCTCGGCGCCTGTGCGCGTGTCCGTATCGCAGTGCGTACACGTATAAATGGACGCGCGCGTTTCGCTCCTTTGCATCGCCCGGCGTGAGCGAAACCTCTCCCCGGGGCTGGCGGGGAGGGCACTTGCGAATCTCCTTTTCTCGTCCATGTGGTATTGTGATTTGGGCAGCCGATCGAAGCTTGTGTTTTAGAAATTTCACCGAGGCGTGGTCGTGCTCTTATCGTTTGACGCTTTCGGATTTCGGATTTTCGACATAATTTACATTTCATTTTATTTTATCACATTCATCATCTTAATTCTTATCTTTCTTTTACACGCTTTCAACAATAACGCAACGTATTTTTTCTCAATTAACTCATTCATTCCGATATTAATCTGAATATTAATCTGAAAAATGCTCATCAATTATTTACGTCGACTACAACTTTGTCCTTCCAGGACAGCATCAATATTTAAATACCGTCGAGAACAAACTCAACAGTCCAATCACAAAACTCGCGAGACGCAATTACTATTATCAAATTATCAAAGCCGCGACAGAAGTTTTGGAAAAAAAAGTTGAAGGTCTATCCCAGTAACATGCGCTTCTGAATAGAATAAAGTTTAAAGTGACTGTAGATTATAGCAGTTATACCGCGTACTTTTTCGCTCGCGCGTTGAATAAGAAAAGCCCCGCCGGCAAAAGTGCAAGGACGACGTCCGAAAGTCTTTGAGGTATTCATATAGACGTAGTATGATTTAGTCGTGTTTTTGCTATTCACTCTCGATTCAGAAACAGGCGAAATCGAGAAAAGCCAAGCTATTTGAGAAATACACGCTCGAAATTGACGTGACGGGAGGCTAAGCGAGGAAAGGAAAAAAAAGTCACGGGAGCGAGTTGCCAAGTGTCTCGGGGAGACGGCGCGAGTAATTAATCATCGCCCTGCTTTATCGCCAATCCCACGGGAGAGCTGCGAGTTACATAAAACGACGGAGACGTACGCGCGGGTGGCTCGCGCGAGATACGCGTATGCGCGCGCGCGCGAACGACGAGCGCCAAAAGCACTAGCCTAGTTTTAAAATAAGAAAGCGAGAAAGCGAGATGAGCCGCGGCGTCGATTTGCACGGGCGAGTCCTGCGATCGAGCAACGACGTTTGTCTTTTTCGAAAGAATCGCGTTATCGCTTCTCCCTGAATTTCAGCGCGTTTGCGCAACTTGTCGCCGTCGGCATCGTCGTTTGTCATCTTTGTTTCTTAAAAGCTCGAAAAAGCACGTCGAATTCGATGCTTATAATAGTTTTATCAAACAATGCGTACACCTCCAAAGATTCTATATTCGCGATCAAGAAAACCCGCGATTCTTTTTCATTTTAACTTCACAAGCAAAATATAAAAAATCCTTCAAATGTTTCTCGTAAATTCTTTATAAAATCGACTTCAAAACAGCATCAAAACAGACTAAAAACACGACAAACAACATACTTAAGAAAAAATAAATAAAAAAACAACTCTCGCTCTCACACACTTTCAAGTCATTAATTATTCTTCCTCGAAATTGCCCCCCCCCCCCCCGCCCCAGAAAACGACATCGGCAGCAATGCAATGCTTTCTGAGAAATTAAAATATCAAACTGAGAGCGAGAGAGAATACTATTCGTCGGAAAATACAATTCATTCTCGTCTTCAATCGAAGAAGTTGCACCAATAGGTATAATTAAGTTGGTTCAGTTAATCGTTAAGAAATAATCGCGGTATACGTATGTGTGTGTCAAGCAGGACGATCGATCGCCAAATTGCCGTCAGAGTCAGTGAACCGTGCAGAGGCGAATATACTTATCACGCAGGCGCATCGTCGTCGCCGTCGTCCGTTCGTTGCTCTGACGTCGGAGACTTAATTGCGTGCACGCGGGTTAACGGACTTCACTCTAGTGCTGCTGCGCTCGCTGTCTCGAAAGAGATTTTGCGATGAGAGAATTTCGTTCGGTTCGCGATTTGTATTTATAAGCTATAGGATCGATCGAATCGATCTATGGCACAAGAAAAGTAATATTTAAAAATGTAATGACAATTTGCATTTGGATCGGAGTTTCGAAAACAACATGCGAATATACTAGTCAAATCTGGATCACAACGTTTACAGGGATTACAGCGAAAGAAAAAGTTCCCGTTACTAGGCATAGTCCGTATCGGACGCGCAGATCGGGTGCGCTCGAATCGAATTCATAGGCGATGCTTTTACGTCAACAAGTCGAACTAAAAATAGTCCAATCGAATTTTCAACCTCGTACACGCTCGGTGTAAAACAAAACGAACAGAAAAAAAAAAAAAAAAGAAAAAAGAAAAAAAACGGCCGTTTTGAACAAACAAATCAAACTTTTGATCGCGCGGAAGAAATGTTTCTTGACTAAATCCACGGCGGTCGAATCGAAAGTCCGAAAAAATAGGAACTCGCGCACGTGTCGCCGTAGCCGAGCGCAAGAAGAAAAGACCGTATGCATAGTGCACGACTATCGACGTTCTACAATAGCCCGCTGCACACAGGTACATATGCTTTTCGCAGGCCTTGATTCGATCGACGAGCTCGCTGCCGTAGCTGCTGCATTTTGTTTCGCACGCGGCCATGGCACTGGTTATGTTGCCGTGCGACCTGCCTTGGTGGCCAGCTGTCGCCAAGCAACTGGATCGCGCCGCGCAGGCGAGAGCTTCCAATGAACTCGTCGACGCTATGCAACGATTGCACGACATGTGCAAGTGAGTATAGAAGTGGTCCTCTCGCTCGAGGATTACTCGGCGAATAAGCTGACGCGAGGATCGATGCGATTTACCGTGGGTGCTTTTGGCGCGCGCATGACTGCAAGAGCCATTAGCCGTGGAATTAGCGAGAGTGCAAGTAGAAAAGCAAACTCGCGATGTCGTCTGAACGCGTCGCCACGTACAGCTGCGGGCTTGAATCGAGTGAGTCCGGAGACGAGAACGAGTGTCAGCTCGGCAGGAAGAGGGAGAAGAGAAAAGTAGGATGCAACAGGCGCGCTTAATGTCTGGCCATTGCCGTCGTTTAGTAGCACGTAGTTGCATTATATACGAGAGAGCTATATTCGCCGGCTGATCTCAGACGATATTTTGGGAGCGAGACGGGGCCACATGGAGCGCACTCGACCTTCGCGCTCGTCGAGTTCGTCGCACTCGCGCGCGGCTAGCTTCCGGGTGAACGCGCGCCACTTCTTCGTGCAATCGTCTCTGAAATGTTCGCAGCATCAGCCTGGATCCGGAAGAGGACATTCAAGACAGCCACCTCTTCGACGGCCTAGCGAAGTATCTGAACGAGGATCTGACCACCGAGGAGCGCGAGCACGTGCTCGGTAAAACGATACCGAGGATAGTCGGCAGAGCGAAAGCACTGAAAACGCACAAACCACCGCAAGGCTTACACTTCAGTTTGCAGCAGCAAGGTAAAACGATTTCCATTCGAGACGCTTCACAGCTGAAAACTGATCGCGCTCGCACCTGACGCAGGTGACACGATTGAGCACAGTTACGCGTTCGTCGCATCGCTGATTGCCAACGCTTTCTTCTCGACCTATCCCAAGCGAACGCCAAAGACTCATCCTACTTTAAGAGACTTTAATTTTACGCACTTTTTCAAGCATCTCAATCTGTGAGTATCGGCTTTACCTTTAATTAATCGCTTTAATCAGATATCACTTTGAGCATTTTTTTCAAAATAACAATTGATAATTTTTAGAAAAAGCCAGAAAGCTAAGTTAGAAAGTATATTCCATTATTTCGACTATCTGGAGACTTGCGACTCGGCATTGGATGGCCATCTACTGATTTCAAGACAAGTGATGTTATCGCGACAATGGCTGACTATCGAGGACTGGCTGGAGAGTGATTTACCACTGTGCCCGCTACGAATCCGACACGAAGGCAGACTCGAGAGAACCGACAATGGCGTACAAGTGTGCTTTGCCAGTTCAAGTTTTGGCGACGGTGTACTCGAGGCACACGCCACCCAAGAGACTATTCAAGTAAGCAAGCACAGTCTGCTGCGTATTGAAATTGCCAAATCACAAATTAAGAGATTCGAGAACGTGACGACCGAACGACGGTGTAACGAGTGACTCGTTGGCACAGGTAGCGAGCCATCCCGAATTGTTAGCTGTGATGCTTTGCGTGGAATCGTTAGAGGACAACGAGGCGCTAATAGTCGAAGGCCTGAGACGAGTGTCGAAGATACTGGATCCTAAGCATCGCGCAACCTTCGAGGCTATAACGCAACCGACCACGGTAAGAGCTGCGACCGATCGCAAGCTCATACGCAACGATTACACCTTGAAAAATACATTCACCAGATAACTGCATGCTGCATCGATGCGGAAGACTACTCGCAGCTACCGTTAGCACAGTACGAGGAGGACAACGTGTTGCGCGAGCTCAACAAATCGTTGCTGGGTTTTCGACAGAGAAGGCCGCCGCAAAGTCCGACGATCGATGCAAGCCAAAGGCACGAGGCCGAAGGTGAAACTGGTCCTGGTACTCGGCGACTTTCGCCCATTGGCGAGAGTTTTAGCAGCCCGTCGCCGGAGATCGAGGAAGCTGCGAGGAAAGCTCGCTCGATTCATAACAGCGCCAGTAGTCAAGGTACACCTCTTTGCATTTTTCCAAGAGTCGATCGTTGTTCAATTTGGATTTGGACACAGCCTCGATGACACCATCGAACGAGACATGTCGTACAAGGGGCAACGGCTTGTCGTCAAGTCCGTGTCGGAATGTCGCCAAAGTCAGCGGAAATAGCGGCAGAAGTAGATTCATCGTTTTGGGTTCAAGCGGCGAAGCTCTACCCGTGACCCGCACGTCTATCGCACAAACTTCCCAGTACCACAGCTGCAGTAGTCAAAGTACGGATGACAGTTATCATAGCGCCAAGGATACCGTTGACGAGCCTGGTAAATCAAATCATTCTCCTTTTCAAGATGCATCATAACAGTCGATTGAATATCGTGTCTAGATAACGACGAGGAGGTACATAAGCAAACTAGACGTTACAGCGAGCAACTCGACACACCCGAGAGACGTGGCACGTTCGCGCAACGCCTGAAAGAAGCTTTAAAGCGTGAAAGCTCGGCGACAAGATCGTCTTCGTATACCGAGACGACGAGCGAGAGCAGTTATGCCGTTGACATATGTGTGTCGGGAAGTCACGTCGACGATCCAAATATCAAGTATGTCGCAATTGCTATGTGCGTATTAACGTAAATTGATTGTGATGTGACGCATAGGGTAAGAAGAGGTGGCTCAAGAGGATTTGTTCTACGTGACGAGACTGTTGATGAAGATTTTTTGAAAGAATCCCTCGAGGCTGAACAGAAGTGGCTCGGCAGATTTCGACAGAGTCAGCATCCTGGACTTCAGAGGAAGGATACTAGCACGAGTAGTCGTTATAGCTTTAGTACCGAGTATAGCTCTGGTTGGTATTACAGCTTACCTTTCATTACCGATATTTCTTAAACGCGAAGAAAACCATTTTTTCAACAAATTTTTCATAAACATTTCTTTTCAAAAATAAATTAGAAACTTCATATTAGTATGAATTGGAGATCGAGTCGACACAATCAAGCCTGACTAGCTTAATTGGTAAAACATGAAACTATGAGCCTCTGAACATAACAGTAAATAAAACGTGGTTTTTTTCTTCTTATTTAAATTTTACATAGTCTTTTAAATCATTCGAATCCCAATATACTATAATTTATATTCTAATTATAACACTGATTTATGTAAGATCGAAAGCTAAACAGCCATTCGGTCGTTGATTTTTTAAAATATTTTTAATATTTGTTTTTTGAAATATTCTTTGTTTTCACTATTATTTCAATAATTTTTAACGTCGCATTAAAGTTTTCTTCTGTAAATATCGGATCCAATTTTTTCAAAATAATATACTGTCTGACCATACGTAGATTGTATCTACTAGTTTTGTTATCGCATAACCTCCATTCGCCTCAATAATTTTCCATCTACTGCTACAATTCTACATTTTAATTAAACCCTTATTTATTCTATTTCATAATAAAAAAGAAAAAAATCAACCCATAATCACGATAAATTTCATATTTCAAAATAAATCAACAACCACTACCATCTATACGTCATCCCTGCACGTTTCATCACTGTCCGCCACAATTCTCGCACCAACCTGCCAGATTTCTGCTCAGAGTTGGAGGAAGTTTACGAGCAACTATCCAAATGGCTGGAAGAACCCGTCGACGGTGAACCACGCGAATTGGATGCTCGCGATCGCGCCGTGGTGACATTTGCTGGTTCTCTTCTCAAACGTGCTCTGAGTGAATCTTTCGCTGGAGTTCCTGTGCAAGAAGGCGAACCTCAACCTTTGTTCGATGCTACTGATGCTAATCAAAGGAGAAAACTCGCGCTCGCCGTAAGGAGTTTGAGTTTGGAGCTTGCGAGACAAAGAAGCAGAAGACATCCGTCGGTGAGGTTTTTAACAAATATGTTTCGTTGCGATTAAGATACATTTTTTTATCGAAATTAAACAATAAATTTTTTCTCATTTTATGGAAGCTTTTATTTAATGGTGGAATGAGAGACAGCGAAAGATAAAGAAAAAGCTTTCTACCGAAACTGAGAGTGATTCAAATATATTTCTGCGCTTTCTCATTGATCATTACCAATTCTTTGATTCTCTACGTACAGTAGACCTACATACACGATATCATCAAATCAGTCTATCAAAAAAAATCGATAGATTTACGCAAAACCACTACATGAGTCATTAATGTGAATAACTATAAGCTACTGTATTATAAAAAAGCGAAGCTAATATAGAAAAAGCGCTTCATGAATTTATTTCTTTTGGCAATTAACATATCGGTGAATAAAAGAAAAAAACAAAAATTAATGAACCAAAAAAAAGTAACAATCTTGAAACGCACGGCACACGTATAGATAAATGACGCTGGAACCAATGGAATAAATGACAACTCCGATGAAGAAACGTACGAAGATGCACCAATGGGAGATTCAGCGTTGTTTCAAAAAGCAAGAAACTCACAGAGACGTAAACTCATGGCTGTAACCTTTACTTCGGAGGTCTTCCAAACCTTGTGCGAGGAAGAAGCTACAATCATCATGCCAGCACCCCAAAGACCAGAGAGAAAAAAGAAAGCCAAGAAGGTGTTCAATTGTGACAAAAACTAACGACTGCGAAAAAATAATAAGATATTAACCAAAACGTGCTGTGTTTCTTGTGTTAGCTAAATGCTTATTAGTTGTTTTTTTATTCTTCGTGACTAATATATAATTATACCTTTGACGAATACTTGTACCTGTCTCTCGTTCTATCGATGGTTGATATACGCAAACCATTAAGACACTTAATGGTACTCTTACTTTTTTCACTTCGGTAAAATGGATCAAATTCACTATCGATCCAATTTATCCTGTATAAGATAACGATATTTTTCCAACGATAAGTCTCGCATTTTTTAACAAATGCTCGAAATGCGAATCGTAATGTTTTGTTTATTTGCTACGTAGGTTTCAAGAGACGATAGCCCACAAGAGGGTGGTCTACAACAGATAGCAACTGGCAACTGGGGTTGTGGTTCACGGCTCAAAGGTGACCCTCAGTTGAAACTTGTCATCCAGTGGTTAGCTGCATCGGTCGCCGGTGTGCCTCGACTAGTGTATTATACATTTGGACATTCTAAATTGTCAAAAGTAAAACGTTTTAATGCCCTTCGAAATGTTTCAATTTTTCAAATAATCGAATTATTGAATTTTCGAATGATTGAAATTTGAAATTCTTATTGACTTTTCAGTTAGATACGGTGAGCCGAGTATTAACAGATCGTCAATGGTCCGTCGGTGATTTGGCCTCGGCAACCCTAAGGTTTTCAACACAGTCAATCGAAGAACGTCGCGAGACACGCAACAGTCTTTTCGAAGAACTCATCGGCGTAGACAAACCAAGTCCTTAAATAACGAAAATTTGTTCGATTTATTTTCGAATGGTGCTAATATGACTTTTTTTTACTTTGAGCCCGATTCGCACGAGATGTGATAAAACGGACATATAGGGATACAAGGACGAAAGAAAAATACTAAACATTTTCTATATAGACGAATTTGAATTTTAATGCGGAGAAAAAGATTTTTAAGTATTTTGAAAATGAGAGTGAAGATTTTGAAAAAGTTTAATAATGTATCTCGTTCAAATAGAATAATGTATCGCTGGTGTTTCCGGACATATCGATAAGACATCTGCACAAATGATTTTAAGTCACAAATAACAAAATTAATTATTTAAAGTACAATAGACATTAAAAAATTATATCACATCTCTTTAAAGTTAGAGGTAATTAAGAAGTCAATCAAAATATTAAACGAATTTAACTTAGCTGGAAAAATAGATGACATTTTACTCAGAAGAAAAAAAAGAAAATATACACAGAATTCATGCAATAAATAAGATGGCACAACTACGTACACTATATATTTTGTACAGCTGTATTGAAATAAGATGTATAAATTAGAAAGTGATTAGATTTTTAGATGAGGATTTTTAGCAGTGAGTATTTTTTATCGAAAGAGAAAAAGGAAAAAAATACAATTAAATACAAGAGGAACAAGAATGTTCGTAATACTACTACACTATGTGGAAATTAACTATCGTAGATAATTTGTTTTTTTTTACAAAATAGTTATTTATACGCTTACATAGATGTGAAGGGAATCAAAAAATAAAGAGATTGATAACTGTTGTGGCCTATAAAAAAAATGTGAGATTATTGACGGTTAGAACGTGCCAATTAAATAAAGAGATCTTCCATAAGATAGCTCGTGTTTATGCTGTACATATGAACAAAGACAAAAGTTGGTTTATGACGTGTGTATATCATGGAAAAAAATCGAATAACGTGTAAAAACAGTATGTTATAAGCGAACGTTAATAAATTTCTATTACATTTAATGTTGTTTTTTTAATACGAGAAAACAAAACTGCATATTTACCTAATAAGAACGAGTCTTTGAATAGTAAATCACAGCTTTTTATTTAATAATATCACATATTAATAGTGTTTTATTTTCTCCGAGTTTGTTTGCTTATTGGCTATTCAAAGCCGTAGAATTTTCTTTACTAAATTCTGTGTTTTATCTGTATAAAAGTTGGTTTGTACATTATAAACGAAGCTTGTGTTTCTTTTACTCGAACATTATAATTTAAATAATGAAATAAGGTCGATCCTCGTTACGTAAAGAACTTATTTAAATTCTAAAGCTGATGATTGGCTTAGAGTGGTAAAAATATTACTAAAAAATACAACGATTGAAAAAATAAAAACTAAATACTATATATTAAGCTATCAAAAGAAGAGACTTCGTACGCGACGCGCGACACCCTGTCTATCATACAGAATATTGAACTTGTGTACAAATTGATTTGTGTCATTGCAACCTTTGGTTATAATGCCCAGGTACGTCATGAGGCCGAAATCGTTGCATTGCTAAAAATTATAAATGTTAATGAATCACTAGTTCATTTTAAACTAATTTAAAAAAAATGTAGGTTATTTAAATCACTTACATTATAGAAATCAGCCTTGAATTTGGGATTATTCAAAACTGGTAAACGATGACTGAGTGAACATGCAGCTCTCAAAACTTCGTGATTTCCCTTTAGTTCTCCTTTTTGAACAGCTTGAACGTACCTTAGAACTAATTTTACCCTGGAGTGTAACATTTTGATTGCACTGTGCTGAGCTATCAGATGTTCTGCAACTATTAATAAAGAAATAAGCAAATTGACAAACTTGTAATCCTTATGTATGTTACTTAAAAAAATGAGAGCTTCTTTTACCTAAAGAACTTTCTCCTTGATCATTACTGCACATCCTTGCAACATGATCAACACCAATCCTCTCAGCCTCTTCAGTGGCTAATGTATAAGTCAATGGTACAAATAACATTGTAGCTTCACCATTCACTAAATCAATAACTGATTCATATATAGATACTGGAAGTTGCTAAAAGAATTATTAAAGCGATAAGTAAATGTAATAAAAAACTGTACTATGAATCAACTTGAAAATTAAATACTCACATCAGTACTTTTAGGCCGTGGATCAAGTTTCAGCATAACAGGACTTTCATTAATCTCACATATTTGCTTATGTACTTTAATGTCTTTTTCATTTGGTAAACCACCAGTTGTGTACCAGCCAAGAAAATCCATATCACTGAAAACTTGCTTGAACTGTTCTTCTTTTGTGTTGTAATAGTCCCTATCAATCACAACATCATCTCCAATTAGTGTGATCAAGAGTTCAAAGGAGTTCATGATTTCGATATTCCTTCCTTTTTGCTTGCCAATCACTGCTCCATACACTGAAAAGAAAATATATTTCTTTATAAAAATCATTCGTATTTATTAAACTATGTTTAATTTATGGTTAAATAAGTAAAGTTTGACATAAGTTGCTTACGTTTTGGCAAAGACAGTGAATGCTAAGAATAAGAAAAAAACAAATAAAATAAATTAATTGACTAACCAAGCTGATCTTTGCCCTCCTGAGCACGAAGTCTAGTCCAGTGCTCGCTGACATTCATAATGACGAGTGGATGAAGACTAATGGAAACAGAGCCGACGGTGCCAGATGATGCCATAACCCGGGCGGTGCTGCTGCTACTTGGACCGCTGATATCCTCGTCTACAAGTTCATCAACGACCCTGACATCTGTTGTTTCGAGTTGAGCAACCTCCATTGTTGCTTCTTGAGCAGATGATCCCGACGCTGCTACGTTATCCTCGTCCACTTCCATCTCACTAGGTTGCTGCTTTTCTTCGCTCATTGTTGCGGTTTCTACAAAATCGCGGTCTCTAGGTTAGGAATGTTCAGCGATTTTGGCGTGATAAAATTGCCGGTACTACTTGCTTACTTTCTGTCAATGAGTTCGAATAATTGCAAGTGCTTACTGATTGAGTTTCACTCCGAAGATTGATTGGGTTTATTATGCTGTGCGGCGTAAATACGTAGATAAACAGGCAAAATAGATGATGCTGCCGCAAATCAATTGCTTGTCTTTCCTGAAAACTCTGTAAACACGTGAGAGCGGGGGTAAACAATACTGCGCATGCGTGGAGAGATAAAATGTAGTCATCCACCGCTATCTAGTAAAGTGAAGTACTTACAAAGTGTACAGTGAAGCGCTCGATTTTGAAGAAAATAAAAGTAGAGTAATTGCATGCTTTTGAAACTGTACGCGCATTTTATAAGAACTAATTAACTTATGAAGAAAGAGAAGATTGTTTTCAGTTGCATGAATTTTATCGTTTTACTGCTTAAATTGTAATAGAAAATTAATTAACGCTTGTTGCGAATTAAATTATTCAAGAAATCTTGAAATGTGAATAATTTTTTGTAATTCAACTGACAATCTAACAGAAAGACAAAACGCACTTAACGCGAAATGAAAGCTGTATATTTTACAGCATCTCAAGATAAAGGGAGGACAGCATTGACAATGAAAGACATTATGCGCCGCAATATACACCTTTGCTTTTCTGATGAAGTTAAATCTAATTAATAAATGGTCACATAGCTGTTTGAATATTTGAAATAATTGCATTATGAATTAGAATTATTATTATTATTATTATTATGAATTGATTATAAATTAGATCAAACACCGGTTGACAGTTTTTTGGAAGATATTCCAATCAGAGATGTTCGTTATAAGGAAATATTTGTGCCAAAAGTGTAGGTAAATATAGCCGATTCCATCGAAAAACTCGATAAATATAAGCAAAGATGACATCTGGGTATGCAACTTTCCGAAGACTGATGGTTATGCCGTGAATTTTTGTAAGCACAGATTGCTTATGCATAGAGAACCACTAGAAGCAAGAGGGGGTTTTGAATATCGCCAATGGTTTAGATTTCGATGGAGCTAAGATTTTCGGAAACGACGACTACCAACTGGATTTCCGTAAAAGAGTCCGATGGAGCGAGCTTTCCGCAACATGTTCAAAAGAGCGAGGAACGCGCTGCGATTTTACCTCGCCAGAAACCCAAAGAATACTTACATCTGGTATTATCGCATAACTATAAAATACTCGTAGCGTAAGATATGAGTAATTTTGAAAACTTACGTAAGCTATTTTTAGGAAATAGGGGTAGATTTTTCATTCAAATTATGATTAATCAAGAAATATTATTGCAATTTTTTATAAATTTCTTTGCGCTATTTTCAGACTGTGTGATTGATGATTGGGAAAGAAAGTACAAGAAAATTATTTCATGTCTGAAGTATGAAGATATGAAGAGCGTAATTACGTATATACGATTTCTGTGAATCACCCAGTGCTTATATTAATATTTCTTTAAGTTACTCGTGCATTCATAGAATCTTCCATCAGCGATCAGGGCAACTACAGATTTCCTAGCCGAAACTTTGAGCAATCTCCGAGTAATTTAGTTTGATAGTCGTTTAAACTTTGCAAATATGAAGAACAATCTACCCGTAAATAAAGAAATTGCAGCTGGAACGATTAATAAAACTAAACTATTTGATATCAGCTGTATACATTATTCACCAATATGTTTCAAATAGTATCTGCATTTAGAGTGATCAAAGATTATTATATCATGGTAACCAACTCTATTTTCATGAATAAAATTCAATTTATACCGAGAAAAATGTAAAACAAAAAATCAATTGAGAAAATAATATATGTAATGCTCTATACAAACCATTATTATTACATTTTATATGAAATTTTCGTTTGCTTTTACTTATTATGTAATCTTTATTTTCTCTAATTAAAGTATAACTTTGATAGTTTATATTTCTTATTATCACTTTATGAAGATAATCAGATTGCAATATCGTAACCGTTTTTTTATTATCTATGAACAATCTATTTTATGTGTAAATAGTAAACTTACAATTATATGTATTAATTATAAGTAAGTTAAAAAATTAATAAATCTGAAGTAACTTGTCATTAAAAAAATAAAATGTCAACATTTGAATTTCGAGTTGAAGATAGAAAGTGAATATTGCTATTTTTCCGCACGACCAATAATCGACGATCTAACTCGATATTCGAAGAGTCGAAGCTCGAACTCGAAATTTGAATTCTTTCAAAAGACCGCGTAAAAACAAACATCTTGAGGTTAGAAAACTATGAAGTAGCTTTTGAGAACTTGTATTAATTATTTAAAGATTCTGATTTAACAATGGATAACGAATTTCCTGACCCTGAAGATGAATTTGATTTGGAACATGAAGATGAATATGAAGTTTTACGGGAACTGGAAGGTCGGACATTTTATAATTTCATTGAATTTGGAATTAGAATACTTTGTTCACACTTTTTTAAATTTATTACATTTATTGACTGGTGAGTAGCTGCTGAGAGGGGAGAAGTAATTTCTAATAAGTCTATAGTGGAAAGTCAAATCACAAAACAAATATCCCAAAACATTAACAGTAATTCACAACTCACAAATAAATTTTCCAATAGTCAAAATACCCAATCGAACGATCTAACTTTGATAGAAACTGTGCAAAATCAGTTGCAGTTAAGTATCGATACTAGTAGAAAAAGACCTATAGATCAAATTTCTCAAGAAACGTTATTTAATATAAATGATTCCATTGATGTAAGTGATTTCAATGGATTTGGTAAGTATAATCATTGTTAAAGAAAAAGATGGACATTCAATGAATTATGAAATAAACTATAAAAATTTAGATCAGGTGAACCTGCAACAAAATAAAAGACCTTGTTGGGATCAACCGGATGAAGTCATAAGATTAATTCTTGATAGAAGAAAACTTCTTCAAAGTGGTTTCACAAATAACAGTATTGTAGGAAATATTGAAAAATCAACTTATGACAGGACGTAAGCACAATCATTTTTCAATATAAAAATTATGTGATTATGATTGAATTGATTTTGTACAGGAAAAAAAATTCCATAACAACAAGAGTTCCGAAATATGATTTTATTGCCCTCACTCGTACTGAAGATGGAAATCGTATATACATAAAAGTATCTGAAAAAAATAAATATGTACCAAAAGCTTACAAATCAAGTTCTGGGTTTTTAATTAAATCTTTCAATCATTTGAAAGGAGAAGCTGAGAACATAGTAAGTATTTTATATTTTTATTTTTATCATTAAAGTCTGTATTTTATTTATACATATTTATATTATTTTCAGGTTTCTAAAATCAATAAAAGAGATGATCTATTTTTGGAATCATCAAACCAAGAAAATCTTAGCTGTGAGTTATGGGTTGACAAGTATCGCCCAAAACGATATTTGGAATTGCTATCAGATGAACATGTTAATAAATCATTACTCTACTGGTTGAAACTTTGGGATAAGATTGTATTCGACAGAGATCCAAAAGTCAGATCTAAGAAGCCTCAAGCATTTTCAAAATTCAAAAGCAAGTTTAAGAAGAAAGAAAATGTGCCTGATCATGATAGTAAAGGTTTTCCAACTCAAAGAATAGCTTTACTTACTGGTTCTCCTGGATTAGGAAAAACTACATTAGCACATATAGCTGCAAAACATGCTGGATATAATATTGTTGAATTGAATGCAAGTGATGATAGAGGCCCTGAAGCTTTTAGGTAAATAAAAAGTTTTGTTTTTTTATATTGTCACTGACTTAAGCTTAAATATTTAATTTGTTTGATTTGCTTTTATTAAACAGGGAAGCACTTTTGGCTTCAACCCAAATGAGAGCTGTGATAGATCAAGAAAAACGTCCTAATTGTCTTGTTTTGGATGAGATTGATGGAGCTCCAGCAGCTTCGATTGATCTTCTTTTGAAATTTATTCATGGCAAATTAGCTCCAAAAGGAAAAAATGCTAAAAAAAATCAAAAAGAAAATAATGGTTGCCGACGACCGATTATTTGTATTTGCAATGACTTATACACTCCATCGTTAAGGTGAGATAGCAATTAAATAAATATACTGTAAAACTACTTAGTTTCTTTGGTGAATACGTTTTTTATGACTATATTGACAATTTTTAATTAAAAGAAACTGAAGTTTTTTAAATGATTCTCTCGTGAAAATGAAATAATGAAATCTTAGTAGCGTTTTCTCTTTTGGTAATTATCGAAACAGCCAAAAACACAATTAACGTAAAACTTATTCTGCAGACCTCTTAGATCAATGGCATTGATATTAAATGTACCAGAAATAAGTCCAGCAATGTTAGCTGACCGATTGAAAAAGATAGCATGTAAGGAAGGTTTACAGGTGGATTCCAAAGTTTTATTGGATTTAGCGCAGAGGTCAGCTTGCGACGTCAGAGCTTGTTTGGGAATATTACAATACACCGGTGGAAAGCCTGATATGTTGAAAAATCTGGCGTTCGGTTTGAAAGATATGCGAAAAGGTCTTTTTGAATCGTGGAAAGAACTGCTGCAAGTACCCATGACTAGAGAAGGAATTGTATCGGAGCACAAGAGAGCACAAAAAGTCGTCAAGATTGTTCATCAAGGTATGTTTACGAAGATGGCATGAACTCGTTTCTATTTAAGTAAGTCAATTGACTAATGGGTACATTGCAGGAGAGCCCGAGCGCTTGATGCAAGGAATTTTCCATAATTACCCGGAGATCTGCAAAGATAGGATCGTGCTGGTATCCGAGTCGTTGGAATGGTTTGAATTCTATGACCAAGTAAACGCGTTAGTAATGGAGCGTCAAACTTGGATGCTAATGCCATACACGATGTCGGCATTCGTGGCTTGGCACTTGTACTTGTCGGGCACGCAGGTGCCGAAAATCTCGTTTCCATCAGCCGCATTAGAGGTAAGGCAAGCAATACGCTGTAGCAAAGTTGCGCGAACAATGATAAGTCACGATTGTAACAAACGGAGCTAGTTTCGCGCTTGATATTTATCGCTGTTGTTGGAAGCAATAACGGTAATGGTCTTTTGTCTTTCTCTCTCGGGGTAGCAACTCGCTCTCCCCCTCTCTCTCTCTCTTCCTCTCGCGGCAGCGGCTTTTTGATTTATCTCCGGCTAATTAGAGAGACTAATAATTAATGCGAGCGCGCATTGCACTAATTATCAGGGGAGAAGCTTTTAAGAAATGAGAGAATATTCGAAATAAAACACAGAGCCGGCGCGGCGCCGGTTGAAGTCAAGCGCGCGCTCGGGCTTGCGAATCTCGCGCCCGCTAAGGTCAGCCAAGTAGTAGCCCCGGCTATTCGTCAGGCTGTTTTTGTCGCCCTAATGAGAGCTTGAATTATTCAACTTGGGAGAAGAGAGACGAGTCCTCTCCCACCCCTCGGGTCAACGATCGCCCCTTTTCCTGAGCCTCTCTGTGTTCCTCTCGCTATCCCCTCGCAGCGTTATTCCTTTCTGCAACCCCTTCGAACGAGCAGAAATACGAAATCTCGCTCTTCGTGCTGCGCAGCACGTCCACCTCGATGTGTCTAGATGAATAAAGTTCTGCGGCTCTTTTCATCCGTGTTTTCGCCGATTTTCTTTTTCCTCTTTCTCTCTCGCTTCTTTTGTTCCCGCGTTCGCGATGTATTACTTTCATTTGGTATTATCATTATTGCAGCGCTTGACCGGTTTTTACTCTTTGATCTTTACCTCGTTTAACGCGGCCGATCTTGTTTCTAAGCCCTCGAGATGGCTTTTGAAGCAAGCCAGATTTAGCTTAGATAATGAATAGCCATACCGTTGGATCCAGTTTCCTGACCTCTAGCGGAACTAGTTAACTGATAACACTCTGTCACTTGCATAAGTTTATTGAGAAAAAGTAGTAGATTAAAAAAAAACGTTTCTTTTTGTTTCTTATTTCAGGTGAATCAGAAATTAGAAAGGAACATGGCGATTTTGACGATAACGAAGAAAGTATCCAAGTACGATATCTTAACACTGATCGCGGAAATCTTGCCATATTTGCCTGATTTACTGACTCCAAAATTGCGGTCTGTGAACGCACAGCTGTACTCACAGGCAGAAAAACAAAATCTCGATCGGTTGGTGAATCTAATGTTGGACTTTGGATTAACGTTCACGCAAGAGAAGAAGCCCGAAGGCGGGTACGAGTACATTCTCGACCCGTAAGTTTTTTTCTTTTTTAGCTTTCTCGACATTTTCGTGAAAATACCTTCAATTAATCGAATGATACTTTCAGCAATGTTTGGGACATCGGTACCTTTCCCGAAGGAAAAGCTCGCAAGCAGTTACCTTATGCTGTTAAGCAGATAGTCATTCAAGAATTGGAGGCAGCGAGAATACGTCGAAGTGTCATAATGAGCGGCGAAGAAGAAACGAAGAAGCTGTCGACATGGCCGTCATCGTCCTCGAAAGAAAATCCCGGCCAATCAAAATCCAAAGCGGACGGGAGCCTCCCAAACCATTTGAAGCAACAATTGAATCCAATCGAGATAACACCGAGGAATGACAAGGTGGGTGTGGGATCCGAATCACAGAGCAATGAAGAAAAGTAGAGAGGCAGCGAAAAATTAATGGATATTTGATAAAAGAGCGTATAGAAGGGCAGCCGCTTTGATACATCTGGAGGATAGGTTGAAAAGTGAGGAGAGAGAAAAAAAAAGGGTAATCTTTTCTCGCGAGCGCGCGTGTCGGGGTCTTGCCGCTATTACTAGAGCGAAGACTCTTCATCTGGGCATCATTAATGATAGATGGCTTCATCAGCGAAAGCTTCATCATTTCTCGCCACTGAATTCGCTTTGGTGGGACGGTCTCTGTAGAAGAGCGAAGGAAAACGGTTTACAAAAGCACACGCCGGGGGTATGATTTCGAGAATAAGTAGCTAACCAAATGGTGTAGAGGCGCATGCACGCTCGTTACTCGCGAAGAAAAGACGCAAAGTTGGATCTCCGGGTGCGCGCACGGCAGGGAGGTAAGAAGAGAGGGACGGATGAGACACAGGAGGTGGAGCCCAGGCGAATTCGAGGCGGAGAGCTACATCCGCAAGGCTATTATAACCGCTCAAGCGAATCTCTATTAAAACGTGTTTACACTGGCTCAGGGGTTGACTCAAGCAGCAGCGGCCCCTTCAGCCCCGCGCGCGCCACTGCCGAGCTAGCGCAGCGCTGCTGGTGGTAGTGGCGTATGCAGCGCTCGGCTGCCGAGTAATGCCTATCTAATTGTCGCGTGTATGAATAGTGAATCCCGAAGCACTTGAGGCTATGAGCCAGATCCAAACTAACACAAGGGGAGAGCCATATGAGCTAATTTATATTATGATAGCCCGACCTCCGGGGATGTATCTTCCCCTTCTTCCTCCTCCCGAAACCCCTTCTTTCTCTCTCTCTCTCTCTCTCTCTCTCTCTCTCTCTCTCTCTCTCTCTCTCTCTCTCTCTCTCTCTCTCTCGTACTCCGCCTCTCCGATGCTGCATCCCGCTTCTGTGTCTTACTTCCTCGGTGCTGCGTTTCCGGTGTAAAGACGAGAGAAGCGCTCGGTGATCAAGTTAATCTGTTAGCGCGGACAAAGGCAATCAGAGCTACGATGCAGTAGCATTAACTTCCGGCACGGTAAAAGCTAGCGAGCATTAGGAGGCCACTCGAGTGTAACGTACACGCGACTAGCCACTAATCGCGGGGGCGGCACTCACGACGACAACCCTCTTAGCCGCTCCTTTCCACTCTTTTATTGTCATGTTGATTCTCCCGTCGGCAGAAGCATCCAGTCATCAGAATTTATGGCCAGTTTTGTATCTAACCCAACGCAAAGCTTATGTCTTTGCTTTCCGCAAGTCTTTTGTGCTCGTCGCGATTAATGACCCTTCCACCCTTATGGCTTTCTTCGTCCCTTTTCTTTTTTGCACCTAACGCTCCCCTCTTAATAGATATTACATTAGATGTTTGACTTGTTCTGAATAACATGAGTTTTATTGTCGAGACATTTCTATTTTGTTTGAGTCATACCGTGTCACTTGAACGAGAAAAGCATTATCATTATTGGTTTTATCGCTTGTGAATGGTCAGCAGCGTGACAATTTTTCCAGATGAAATACTTGTCCGCTTTAGTATTTTTTTATTCAACCGTTTTTCGAATGGTAACTTTTTTTTCGTATTCTGTTTTACAGCGCTGTCGTAACTTTTTCTCTGCATTCCAAAAGGCAGGACAAGAAAACTTGAAAACCAAGAAGGCAAAAGACATAGAGATGGGCATAATAAGTCCAGAAACACTATCGAAGGCCGAAAGGGACAGGGCTTTTGTCAAAGCGAAAATGGATTTAATGAAAAGCGATGTACATTATGTATATAATGAGGGTTACACCAATGCTGTAAGGCGCAAAGTATTCATGAAAGATCTTATATAATTGTTATTTTTAACTATATTTTACTGTATTTTTTAACAATGATGTTTTAGATAATAAGGCTTTTGATAATAAAGTATTTTTATATCTTTAAAATTTAGGGAGTCCACGTTATGAATTATATTTACGATAACGAGAACAAAAACATTTTACCCGTACGAGCCAAGCTGGTTCAACAGCTTCAAGGCTGCGATCATCTTCTTCTCATTAAAATTCTCATTCAATTTCAAAGGGTCAAATTGGCAATTGTTACATTTCTTGGCCACGATGGTCGCGATGAGTTTCAAAGTTATTTTCATGGAAAAATTTATTTGAGATATTAAAGGATTTGAAGATTGAATTTTTAATCAATACTAATATAACAGATAGTTCATGTATTTTTAAAAACTGAAAGCGTTCATTTAAGACTATTTAAAACTTCATATGAGTTTCATTGATCATATTACTGTAAAATTGTAATACACTTTGATTGTTCAGAAAATTGTACTATTTTTCCTTATTTGCTTTTTAAATTAACATTTATCAATGATCAAGACTACAGAGGGAATAAAATTTTCTGTAAACCAAAATGCATTTTGATGTTATTGTGTTTTAACCAAATATCGATTTGTTAAGTTTTTGTGAAATATCAATAATATAATGAAACTCTTAAATATTTATTTATTTCCGCTTAATAACTGGAAAAGTTTTATAAAATCTTTAAAAGTAATGAAATTAAAGTAATATTTTGCATTTAAAACAACTGACCAAACAGCAGCTATACATACGATTTTTTATAACAAACGCACCAAATCTTCATAGTGCCACTGATGCCTGCAAATTTTCATGTATTTTTATATTATAATTTCAGCTTGATAGTGATTAGGTGACCTTTTGCAAAAATATGATATGCATTAAAGCCGAAATCCAATTTGTATCTCATTAACAGTACAATGTATACGCGGTTGACGGTATTTTCGTCTATTTCATTCGTGGAATAACTGTTCAATTAACAATATTTTCATTATCAATGATTGAACAGACAGTGTTGTGTATTATTCAGTGTACTGAACATAAATTTACGTGGCAAGTTCGAAAGTGAAAGCAGTTCGATTTCAGTACTCTACTTCAATTTTACAGTCAAATCACTAAACTATTTATACTGGAAATCCACTGAATTGAAATATCACCCAATTACCGTTGAAATGAATACGCTAAATGACATAAAATACATTCGATAATAGTACATTAACTAAAGCGGGAACATAGATTCTTGTCTGGTATAAGTGAAGCGAGGGTGTAATGAGTCGAGAATCCCTTTGCCGAACACGTTAGTATGTATTGTTCAAAGCAACGAGCGGAAAGCGCACGTTTATCCCCGAGCGTTCGGCAAAGTCGTACTTTCCGCGTGGCGCGTTCAAAATAAATTAGATGCCATGATGGCTGCACTCAGCCTTTTCAAATTTGAAACATCCGAATGCATATTTGAAAAGATATCTATCGGGTTATGCACTCTGCGCCATTGACTTAAGTATTTATTGATGAGTTGTCACATAGCTTCAAAATGTTTTGGAATAATTGACGATCAAGCAGTTTTCGGAAATGCATTTCTCACATTTCGTTTTATTAGCACAATCTGTATCGATCTGTTTCTTGGCTCTGATAAATGAAATAAAAAATCGCATACTCTATGTAGGTTGGATTTTCGCAAGGGCTCAACTCGGCTCGACTCTCGAAGGCAAAAACTTGCTTTGGAGCTTCGAGCTGGTTCGAGCTTTCAAGCTCGGCAACTATGTTTAGCAACTTGCTTACGAATTGGCATTATTGATGTCGAGTTTAACGGTTCAAGTATTCAAAGTAAGCGTTTCGTTCGACTACAGCTTAAATTTAAGGTTTTGAATTGTTTACGAAGAAGCTCGGACCGTGGGCGATAGTTGGAAAACCGATGGCTTGTAAAAGCACAAAACGCCATGGCGAAGAAGAGAAAGTTGATCGCGCGATTGGTTATCAAACGAACGAAGCGAAACAATGTCTGGAGGCTGAGGAGCGCGGCGGAGTATAAAACGATAATGTAGATCAATTGAGCGTAATGAGTGGTGTGCATACACGCGCGAGGCATGCGTTACGTAATCTAGGCAAATAATTAGTGACGATCGAATTGGTTTAATCCCGCGGCTGGTAGCTGCTCGCCCGCCGCGAGTTTACGCACGGCAAACGCGCGCCCGTGTGCGTTCGAGGGCAAATATCTAATAAATCACTTGATACATTTTACGAAAGTGGTGGCAGACGCTAAAAGGCCAATCTATATAAGCGCGCTCGCGCGTCGGCATGATAATAGCCCCGCGCGACTGAGTGAAACTACCTGCACTCTCGCCACTCAACCCTCCCTCCCACCCACTCTTTTTAGCCCGAAACCCAATTCGATAACCCGCGCAACGCACGCGCGGTTCGCCACCGCCGGCTTCCTACACACTTCGCGTGCGGCATTTAATCTTCTGGCCCATTACTGCTTTCTCTCGCCGACTTTTTTTTTCTCACTGCTTTTTTTTCTTTTCTGTCCCCCCCCCCCCCCCCCCCCCATATCTCTCGCGTCTTTTTGCTTTACACATCGCGCGCTCAAACGCCATTTTAGCGAAGCCCGCGCTGCAAAAAGAGAGAAAGAGGGCAAAAAACTAAGCCGCGTTTCATTCTCCATCTATACGCCTATACGTGCCAGCGTGCTAACTCTGCTCTTTTCTCTCCACTTTTCCAAAGTGAAACTTTAATGGCTTATCCGATTAATTGAATTCGTTATTCCGTGCTTGGCTTTTTAGCCGATTACCAACGTTTTCTTCAATAAGCTCGCGCGCGAATTTTCATACTCGCGCACCGTCGCGCGACGGATTTCCATTTTTTATCATTCGGTTTTATCATTTAACAAAAAACAAAGTGAAATAAAATAAAAACAAGGCCGAGCAATAGCGATGACATTTTAAATAATCGCGCGAGCTTGCAGTTGATTCAGCCAATGGGTATTCTCCGCGGCGGATTGTTTAATTGATTCGAACTGTATGATTTATTGATTGGTACAAAACATTTCAAGCGTCCTGATTCCTCTCTCTCTCTGTCTCTCTCTCTCTCTCTCGGCACTCTCATCAAGCCAATTGATCAATAAGAATTTATCAACGGTTACATTTTATTTACGAGAGAGGCTGTATGCCCACTGCTGGAAGATCTTATAAACTTACTAGATTAATAGACACGCCATACAACTACTTGAGACGCTTAAAATCAATTACACTTTAACGAGAAACCGATGTCAATTGCTTTTTCACAATTGAGCGCCACTCCATCAATTATTTAAATTGCATTCGCATTGTTTTATCGCATTGAAATTGCTAATCATTCGCTGACGTGCGAGATAACGTTACATCAGAACTGCTTTCTGGGATTCAATTTTTCAATGATATTCCATACTCGGTCAATATTGAAAAGAGTTTTTTAATGTTTTGATTATGTGCTCAGAAAGATTGTTTTCAATATATGATATATTAATATATAAAATCGAAAAATTAGATTGCTGAGTCTGTTGAAGCACTGCAAGTAGAATTCTAAGGCTAAAGTCAGACAATGTACAAAAATAATCAGCTCAGCGATCTGATCCTCATTGCCATAACTAAGAGTTGAATTTCAGGATCAAACAATCATTCGTATTTAAGATACGAGTTGTCGAGCCAAAGCGAGAGCACAGATTGATAGTAATGGTACAAATTAAATAAAAAGTAAGCTTTTTACAGAATCATAACTGATATCGTTTATTTAATTACACATATTTTATATTACAAGTTGTGAAATTATTTAAGATTATATTGCACGCGAGAAAACTGTATATTTTATAAATTGTAATGGTTAAACTATTTCAACGAATTCTTTTATCGTCTAATTTCTATTTAAGACTTAGGTCGTGGTAGTATTTACAAAAATTTTTTACACTTATCCTTTCTTATACAGCTAGTTAAAGGTGACACGAATATTTTAAAAATATTATTGTCTTCTACGTGGTTTTGCGTGACATGAAAATCAACGACGCTTCCCGAACGAATGCGCGAAAGGTGTAAGAGCTGCTTGTCTCGCGTTTGCCCTACGAAGATTCATAAAGCTGGGCGCGCGTACGAGCCCAGAGCATTGAGAAAGCAACGAGAGAGAAAGGGGCCTGCTGTCAGTCCAGTCGGGGGACAATTTACGGGGGCCAGTAATTTAATCAGAGCCAGTGGAAAAAAGGAGCAATCGGCGGAGTCGCGGAGACGGACGCGCGGCAGAATAGCTCGTCGGAGCAGGCGGGAGCGAAATCAGCAGGGCGCTCAGTCGCGCGGAGGATCGCGCGGGAGGCGGAGGGCCGTAGCAGTGGAAATCGGAAGCCGCGCGTCGTTGAGCTGGCCCGGGGGGAGGCGAAAAGAAAGAGCCGGCAGCGCCGGCGCTTTGTCTCGGCGCGCCGGCGCGGGGCTAAATCCGCGATGTCGTTGATTAATACGGTTTAGCAGTAAGTGTAACGGAGTGTGCGTGCTCGATGGAGTACCTCCGCCATATCGCGCGGCGGAGGAGCTGGTGGGGCGCGGCGGACGGGTGGCGAACCGAAGCGCCTCGGCACGTGCCGATCAATGGCGCCTCTATCCCCATTGGCCGCGCCGAGCCCGCGCGCTCTCCTCTCGCGCAGCCCCTTCTCGCCGAGACGTACCCCTTCGTCGCGCGCCTCTCTCTCTCTCTCTCTCTCTCTCTCTCTCTCTTCCGGCGGCTGGCCGAGGAAGGGGCAGCGGAGCCGAGCGCGGCTTTTCTTGTGAGGCGCATTGATTGCCAACGAGCCTTGGCGCGCCCGACGCTGCTGCGCACTCGCGCAACGGGACGCCGGCTCGTCCTCGGCAGCACGACCACTTGCTTCGTCCGAACGTCACCGCGACGATGCAAAGGCTACGATTCTCGGGCGCGCCGGTGCGTGGCTACGGGCTACGCTATGCTCTCTATGGACAGCCGTGGCCGCGCGTCGGCCAGTCGGCTATCGGTATGGTACATCGGGCCGCGCTCTCGCCGTCCCCAGCGTGGCGCGCCAAGTGCCGGCGACCTAGGGCTCCTCCTTGGCGGCCGGCTGCAGGTGTGCCAGGTGGTGGGCCGCGGGCTCGGGCCTGGGCCGCGACAAGCCCAGCAGCGGGGGCAGCAGGGGCAGCGGCAGCGCCGGGAAGTGGAAGCCGGCGGCGCTGGCGAGGCCGCCGAGCAGCGCAGAGGCCGTGCTGTGCTCGTGGGCCTTGCGCCTCAGCTCCGCCAGGCTGCTGCTGCGCTGCTGCTCGCTGCTGCTGCCGCCGGCGCTCTTGCAGCAGCCGCACAGCGAGCTCGTGCAGCCCGCCGCCGCCCAGCTGGCCGGCGACCAGGACAGCATCTCCTGCAGGCTGCTCGCCCTCGACGACGACTCCATGGCCGTGCTCCAGAGCGACGGCGCGCTCGAGCTCGCCGCCGACACGAGCGAGCTCACCGGGCTGCCGGCTGCCATTTGGAACTTGGAGGCGAACAGCGGCGGCGAGAACTGCGCCGCCAGGTGTGGCGAGAAGAACAGCGAGGTGGCCGTGGTCTCGACCGGTCGGAAGCCTCCCGGTCCGGCACTCACAGGGCTGCGGGGAAGAAGCCAGAGCGGAGAAAATCAATTTCCAGTTGCTCGTTAGCCTGGCAGCGCCAGAGACGAGTCAAATCCATTCAATTAAAGTTGCCTCGTCAAGAATGAGGCAGAGAGAGAGAGAGAGAAGAGAGAGAGAGAGAGAGAGAGAGAGAGAGAGAGAGAGAGAGAGAGAGAGAGAGAGCGCGAGCGAGTAGAGAGGATAGCGCTAACTGCATCAGAGCAACGCGCGGATGAATAATTGCCAGCGTGGCGCTTTATTACATCGTCCTCTCTCGCTCGCTCCCGGTCTAACTTTTGATCGCGTTAGCCCGCAATTCCAAGTTTTCAATTAGAAATTCATCGTGCCGCCGGGCGCGCGTACACACCGGAGCGAGTCGCCAAAGAGACGCTGCGGCTCTTACGTAGAGCAGCCCTACGCGGAACGAAAGCTTGGCGCCGCGTCCAACACGCTGCGTCCGGACGGCGACGACTCGTCCGTGAATAGGCAACGAGGATACATTTACGAGTGAGAGCGGTTGCTAAATAAATTACGCATGCGAGTAAATGGCGCGTGGCGAGCATCCGGCAGTCGGTCCGTCTCACCTCTCGGCGGGCGGTCCACTTCCGGCTGTCGCAGCTAGACCCGGCTGCTGCTGCTGCTGCTGCTGCTGTTGCGAGTCCAGACTCGACGGCTGCTGCTGCTGCTGCTGCTGCTGCGTCGGCGTGGAGTGCTGGGAGATCGGCTGAGGCGTCAGTCGAGGCTGCGGCGAGGCCGACGAAGGTGTCGGTCCACCGTGGAGTCCTGGCCGTGGGCTCACCGACGTCGACGTCGTGCTCGGACTACGCGAACCGCTCAGCGCCTCCTGATTGCCCGGCGCGTCGTCCGACGTCAGGCCCGAGTCGTGCTGCTGGCTCGCTTGCTGGCCGCCGCTTGGGTTCGACGACTCGCTTGGATTCGAGCTCGCGCCCTCGCGCTTGCGCTGCTCCTCCTGCAGGCGCTGACTCTTGCGCCACTTGGCCCGTCTGTTTTGAAACCACACCTGCAACGTTAACGCGCAAAGTCGTCAGGCGACTGCTCCAAGTCGAGCGTGTGTCTTGGACAAACGGCGTTGTGCGCGATAACGTGCACGCGACGAGCGTCGGAACAATCGAATTACGCGAGAATGAGCCGAGTAACTCTGACAACGCAATTAGGAAGAATTTCGAGTAGAGCGCACTCGAGTTTAGTCAGACGCCACTAGCGTGAACTTAGCCAAGCAGTGCTCCGAGACTGGATTGGAAATAGAAAAGCGCAAACAATCGTTAGTGGATAAAATTGCAATTGGCGGAGGCGGTGCGACTGTGCGTGTTACTTGTGGCCCGTGTAATCGACGAATATTTTTTTCTGGAACGAGCGCGCGGCTGCCTGCGTCGTTAAAGCGCTGCTAATGTCGCGTTTGTCGCCGACGCGAGGTGGAGAGAAAGATCCCTCGAGACGGGTTCGTTAGCGCGATTTCTGCGTTTCTGCCGGGGCATTAATAGTCAAGACTGCATGTTTAATGAAGCCAGGTGGAAGAAGCGAGTGTCGAGTCGTTAGTAACGTGCCTAACAAGACGTAATCACGGCTAAAATGGGCTTTATTAAAGTTTTCCTCTGCCGGCTCTTCCACACGTTTTGCCAGCAAACACATTCTTTTGTGCCCCATCAAGTGCCATAAGAGAGGTTTTGCCCGGAGCCATCCTTCAACCGTTCTCTCATGCCGCTGCCTGTTCGAATTTTCAGAGGCTTCCAAAAAAGCTCCCCTTTTCCGACTCGCGACTTTCTTTCTCGAAGAAGAAAAGGAAAAAAAAATATTCTTTTAATGATAATGAGAAACGAAGGAAAAGGAAGCTCGCCGGATAAATTTCAATTTTCCTTCTGGCGTAGCCGGCTGGGCATCCCTCTCGGAAATAGAAAATAAAGTGATTACGCGGTAATACCTTTGGTTATTTACAAGATGAAGTGTCGGGCGTCGGGGAGCAAAAAATATATAAGGAAATATCGCCGAAAAGGAAGAAGAATATAGCCCGGTGGTTGCTGTAGAATCCAATTTCGCCGGGGCGCCGGCCTCTTGACACACAGAAGGCAGACATCTTATCTCAATTTGGCGCTCGACTTTTATCGGAGTGTATCGCGGAAGGACCGGCGGGGCTTCGTACCTCCAGTTGCGTCGCGATAGTTTCGCCGAGGAAACGTGCAGGCTGCAGGGCGTCTTGCGTCAGGTATAGGATTTGAGGGGCAAATCAAGCACGGAAGCGCGCTTGTTATTCGATACGACAGCTTGCGAGCGAGAGAGGGAGAGAGACAAATCCAGCATCGCTCGGGAGGGTAGCTATATAAAAGGGCGGTCGCAAGCAGACTTGCGTGGAGGAGACAAGCGAGAGGCAGGGCGTCGCCGCAAAGACGAGGAAACAAGTGGAGCGCCGGGGATAGCTGCTGCGAGTCGAGGCTTCGGCAGAAGCTCGGCGGAGCGAGCGAGGCGCACGCCAAATGGTTTAATAAAATAAATATGACGAGGCGCTCCGGCCCTGTCCCGTCGTGGCCCGGGGCAGTCTTGAGACAGAGGCAAAAAGGTGGCGCGAACGACGACGTCGGGAGCACGCTCTCTCTCACTCTCTTTCGTCTGTCGAGTGGCGCGCGAACGCTCGCGCGCCGCCGCCAGACGGCCAGATATAATAATATCCTAAGGGTTGCTGGAACGAGTAATAGCTGGGAACAAAGCCGCGATTCCCCCGAGATCGAGCGCGCAACGTTGAATTTTTACCCCACTACTCGCACCCCTCTCCCCCCCACCCGCGCTCTCTCTCTACTCTCGGCACTTATCCCTCTTTCCTCCGCCCGGGCTTTGCCTTTTTTCCATCTGAATTTAATCCTAAATACGTCTTGAGACCGTTCACCTCCGCGACTCTCTCCGACCCGCGGCTCCGGCGAGTCCGCGCGCCGCGCGCCACCAAATCAGCGCACGCCGGTTCTCGTCGCGACGGCTCGTGGGCGCATACGCTTGCTCGCCTTGAGTTTGTTCGGCCTAATCAACTCAAACGCTCGTCGAGTGAAAAGCGAGTTACTCGATCTCTCTCTCTCTCTCTCTCTCTCTCTCCCACGGGCGACGCGAGCTCGTTGAGCGCAGCGAGCCGCGGTCGTGCGGCGAGGGCTGCTGCGGGCTCGCGCGCGTCAAACAACCGCGCGGTCTCCTTTCCCACGTTTGCTTTTTTCTCTTTTTCTTTTCCTCTCCTTTTTTTTTTGTTTCGCGCGTTCGCGTTACTTCTTTTTGCGCCCCTCTGCCCCGAAGGCTGATTCATCGATCCGCGCGAGGGCCAGGATTTGGAAGACGCGCGGCACGACCTACTTGAGGCGCGGCGGCGCTGTATCGGCCGCGTGAAAAATGCAGCAGGGAGAGAGGGCGGAAACGCAGGCGCAAGGCTTGTTGTCGGCTGACTGTAAAGCAGCGAGGTTCGAGCGGAAACGTGATTTGAGTAGATCGCGCACGAGAGACGATATTTGCGTGGTGTGCGCAAAGTCGCGGGGAAAACGTGCCTCTCGGTTCGGGCCCCCCCAGGAGCGCCTAATTGGAGTAGCAACGAGACGAGAACTAGCGAGCGACGACGGCGAAAACGAGACGCGAGAGCCAAGTCGCGCGAGCGCACGCGGGCGAACTGCCGCTGCATAAACGCGCCTATTTGTCCATTATTCCAGATTCCCTTTGTCTTCGTTAATGAAACAATGAGTCTGCGCCGCCGTAATTGCGTCATACCCGAAGGCTCTGCAGCCTCGTGCAGCCCGGCCGTGCGTCGTACACGTCGGCCTTGCCGTGCGACCCAGTGAAAAATCAAACGTGCAACGCGAGCCTTACCGAGTTAGGCGCGCGCGCGTTAAAAAATTGGCATGCAATGAAATTCAAAATGAAAGGGGTGTGCTCGAGCGAGGGTCGCTGTAAGCAATACCGAGAGAGCGACACGTAACAAATTTGATTTAGTTTTGGAATAAGAGGGTGTACCAGTGCTACTCGGCCGAGAGCAAATTGCGTAGTCTAGCCGAATCGATTGCAATAGCGGCTCCCGCAAGAGCCGTATAAGAGCCAAAACTCTTAATTCGATCGAGTTGCGCACGAAGCAACTTTCCGGCGTCCGGATTTTCAATTCCTGTCTCTCGCTGCCGAGTTTCGATACAAATCTACAAATTGACTTTGGATTTTCCGCCGCGGAATCGACGACGACGACGACGACGGTGACGACTTTTGTCTCGCAATCTCGTTTGACTTTCCGGAATCGAGTTTCGACGAGACACGTATGTATCCGCGATCGAAAAAAATAACCCATAGGCTCTCTCTGTTGTCGAATGGAGTGCACTTCACAAGGATGATATTTGCGAAAGAAAAGAAAATTGTTCGGGCAATTAGCCAGGAGAACTCTCGCTGGCAAAGGCAAACATTTGTCGCTAATGAGATTCTAGAGAGGCATCATGAATCACTGAAATCCCGTATTGTTTTCGCGAGAAAGTCGCAGGAGTAAACATCTAATAATTGCCCGGCGCACGGTATAAAGACGTTATCCGGCTTGTGCGTCTCGCTCACGCGGAGTACGATATTCCTTTATTAAGGGTGTATTGTCGCGGAGCGCTGCAGCTTTTAATGGGGCACGTGGCCGCCCCTGAGCTGAAGGGTCCGTATGTACAAACAAGTGGCGACAAACTCGTGTCACATGCTGTGTGCCGCTGTTAAATGAACTATGCAGTCGTTCGACCTTTGCTTGTGGTGTTTTCCACATCGGATATTCACAATGGGCTTTCCAGGGCGCACGAAATACTCGATGTGGCGCGCGTGGTTTGTTTTCAGAGATTCATTCTGCCCAAGTGACTTCAACTTGTGCAGCAGGTGTCAATTCCAAATCAAAGCGACACTCGTTGGCTATTTGACGCGATTGCCACACGACCGCGGCTTTTTTCTTCTTCTCCGATGAAGCGGCCAATCTGATTATTTTCCGAACGACGCACGCATCCGCTAAAATTTGCAAACGTCGACTGACCATTCGGAAAAATAAAAGCGGATAAGTCACGATTTCAATGTAGATTAATTCCGGCGGCGCGAAAGCGCACGAAGGAAAATTAGCACGCTCGCACTGCGCGCAGAGAAACACAGACATGAGAGTGAAGAAGGGACGTGCGGAATAGAGAGAGAGAGAGAGAAAGGGAGAGAGCGAGATCGCGCGCGCAAGAGAGAGTAACAATCTGGCGAATTACCGGCTTAGTTCGTCAGAAGATTATGTCAGGTTGAGGGTGTCAGCGAGACCCTCGGGGCCCGCAGCTCCTTCTCACGCGCCTGCCCACCGAGAACTGCCAAGCTGCTGTTTTTCTCTTCCCCCTTTTTCTTCCTTTTCTCTCTCGTTCGCGCCCGCCATGCCGATGCGCGACTGCGTGCGTGCGTGCGCTCGACTATTTTTTCCGGCGAGCTCTCGCTGCAAATTTTCGTCGGCGCGGACGCAGAGTCGCGAGTGAATTTAGATGGAGCGAGTGTCGCTCGCAATCGAGCTCCGCTCATTGAGATCAATTGTTTTCCTTGCCAAGCGTAGACTACAATCGCTCGTTACTAACCACGCCATTAGCTATATATATATACACACTGGAGATTTCAACGCCGACTAAATATGCACGTACACCTTGCTTATCCGCCAGTCGCGATTGTTATATAATCAGCGTCTACTGCACAATTACCTGTACTCGAGCCTCGGTGAGATTGATTTTTATCGCCAGATCCTCCCTGGTGAACACATCTGGATAGTGCGTTTGCGCGAATGCCTTTTCGAGCTCTTCCAGCTGCATCAGCGAGAAGGTCGTTCGATTTCGCCGCTGTTTTCTCCGCACGAACGAGTCTTCGCCAACGCCGTGCAAGGCCGGATGGTAGGCCGAGTAGCTGGCATCTGAAAGCGAATGGGAAAAATGATATTTCACCCGAAAATCAATGCGCCGATGTGTCGCACTGTGGAAATCCCAGTAGAATAACAACAAACTAGGCCGTCGACCTGCGGCGGAACGGAGGGAGACGAAAAGAGCGAACGAGCGCAACTGCGGAGAGAAAGAGAGAGAGAGAGAGAGAGAGAGCGTGCGAGCGAACGGCGGCGGCGGCGGTGGCGGAGCACCGCTCATCAATGATGCAAAGCAATCAGCGCAATTAATTACCGCGACGCTAAGCTACGGCTTAGCAAAAAACGCAAATTAATTCGCTGGGCTCTGAAAAATTGACGCAAAGCTCCGTCGTGTATTCCACCTCTGATTGTTGACTTTGCTCTGTGGCGCGCGCGAAAGGCCGGCGAGAGGAAGAAGAGCGAAAATCCGGCACAATTATCGATTGGCCGCGCGCGTAAATAAATTTAACGACGGGTATCTCGCAGGAATGGAAATCCACTCAAGACGTTGGATCAGAGTTGGGAAAAGTAAAGCCGGAGTCATCAGTCTGTATTTCTTTGAGCCCCATCGTCGCGCTGATCCAATTTATTAGCGACTGCTAGTAATGCCGCGTGGTTTTCGGCCGATCCATTGTGCGGCACAGAGCGAGAGAGGGGTGGGGTTGGAGGGGAGAGAAATCTAATGAGAGAGCGAGAGCTAAGCCACTAATGAGCATAACGAGCTGTAGTTAGAGCGGAGAGCGCGCGCGCGCGCGCGGCGAATTCGGCTGCAGGGACGCTGCTGGCCCGTCGTCGAGCGAGCCACTTAGCGACTTATCACGTAGTTGCCTAATCTGTTTATCCCGACAAGGAACACACGAGGCACGGGGCGAGCGGCAGGGCGGGGGGAGACGGAGCGCGCAGCTCGGCCATCGGCTCACCTACTCCCCAGGGCTGCCTTCTCTACCGGCAGCTGCGTCGTCGCTCGTCGGCACTTTTTCGCGCGACACGCGCACAAAGCCGCGCACGCACACGCACACCGCGTGCATGCCAACTCACATGGATGAGTGGGTGCGAAGGGGTACTCGAGGGAAGGCGGCAGCCTCGGAGCCGGCAGGCCCGAGGGGCAGTGGTAGCAGAACATGCCCGCGCCGCTCGCCGCCCGGCTGGCCGCTGCCGCCCCTGGGCCTCCTGCCGCCGCTGCCGACGCGCCGCTGGCCGCCGCTGCAGCCGCCGCCGCCGCCGCCGCCGCCGCCGCCGCCGCTGCCAACTGAGTCGCCTGAGCCTCCCGCGCTGCTTGCTGCTGCTGCTGCTGCTGCTGCTGCTGCTGCTGCTGTTGCTGCTGCTGGGTTGTCGGCGACGACTGCTGCTGGGCTCGCTGAGACGACGATTGCTGGGCATGTACCGAGCCAATCTGCGAAACAACCAACGCGCAGAGCGTAGCGTTGAGTAAGAGGCCGAAGAAAGCTGCTGCGGCGGCAGAGATTATTCAATGAAGGGAAGAGGAGCAGCAGCGGCAATCTAATAAATAATAATGAGTTATTACATGTCAATCATGGTATTGCGAATATCCGCATTGGTAATATCGAGGGGGAGAGACACGTAGACGCGGGCGAGGGCCGTGCGTGCGTCTGGACTTCCGGCGACGGGAGAGCCGAAACGAGATAACACGTCGATCCCCATTACAGCGGCAGCAGGCCAACATCGACGCGGGGGGAGAGCATTCTAAACTCGCGTAAATAAGTAACGAGGGTATTGAAGCCATCGCTCGAGAGCGAACTTAATAAGCCGAGAGTCGTCAATTTGTAATGCGAGTGCGCGCGTGTGCGTGTGCGTGCACGTAGCCTTTACGTAACGCCACGCGCGCGCAGGCTTTGCCGCGAGAGAGGGAGAGAGAGAGAGAGAGAGAGAGGCGAGCGGCCAAGGGATAAATTGAATTTTAGATCGCGCGCGCGCGCGTGTGTGTGGCTCGCCCGGCCAGATCATGCTAATTAAAATTTGAAATTGATATTAGAGTATTGTTGTTGGCCACACGGCAGCGGCAGAAGCAGCCGGCGGCAAGCCAATCAGAGGCGCGCGAGTCCGCGACAGCGAAGATCGTCGCGGCCGAAATCGCCGGCGGATCTTTGCTCGTTCGACACGGGCGAGCGATGGCCCGCAGCGCGAGAGCTTACGCGGCCGATGATCGGATTATAAACCTCAAGAGCAGATGTTCAATTTGAAACACGAGACACTCCCCGGCTCTCGCGCGCGCTACTGGACCCGCTTGATGACGCGCCGTAAGCCCGCCGCGGATCAGCGCTCGATTATTGATGGCTCCTCGTCTTGAATCCCGCGCGGCAGCGAAAACCAATCAGCGGACTCGCGACCGAGGGCGACGAGTCACGAGCGCGAATTAGCACGCGGCAAATCGAATCGAAAGGCGGAAAATTGATACGGAGAGCGCGCGCGCGCGCGGTGTTTGTTCAGTTGAACGCAAGGCAAACAAGCTGGGGCATCGCCTGAAATTTGATCCATGCCGCATGCCACCGGCGGATCAAAGGATGCTGCGCGCTCGGATCCGCGGGCGAACCTGCAGCCTCTCCCCGCCTCCCGCCGGCGAAGGGCAGCCACTTAGGTGTGCGCGGCAGCTCGTTCCCCCCCGTCGCGGGCGCATGCGCGCCGCTGGCGCTCACGCGCGACAAGTGAAACGCCGAAAAAAAGAGAAAAAAGACGAGGAGCGCGTAACAAGGGGCCAAATGGACCGAGCGCTAATCGCCATGCTGCTGCTGCTACTGCTGGTGCGCGAGCGTATGGTATCAAGCGCCCCCCTCCCCCGCGCCGCAAGTCGTTCGCCCGAGGGCGGATTGCCAGAGTCTATATTTGCTCGGCGCTCCCGCTCTCCGGATTAGCCGCGACTATGCGTGTTTTATTGCGCGATCATCCGATTGCCCCCGCGCGCCGCAAACGGGGGCTCGCCGCAAGCCCGCACGCCGCATCCACGCTGTATCCCGCTAATTACTCCCGCGACTTTGCGCCCGCGCCGCGCCTTGCGACGGCGAAGACAATTGGCTCGCGCGCGCCTGCTTATCGATCGCAGCCGACGTCGCCACGCATGCACGCCCGACAAAGAAACGCAATTACGCTGACTCGGAAGTTACCTCGCGAAACAAGCACACCAGTCAATTGAGCGCAACTCAGTTAGGACTTAGTTTCTCGCACCCTTCGCGAGTCGCGCGGTCGCCTTACTTTCTCGCGCCGCCCTCCTCCTGCGGCGCTGCTGCCGCTGTCCCCGGGATCGTGCCGATCGCAACGACAGTTCCGGGGGCTCGATCGCCGGCGCTCCTGCGAGAGCGCTGCCGGGCCCACATGCCCAACTGAGGGACGCCGGCTTTGGCTTTACAAGTGAAATACGAGATGTGGCTCGAAACAAAATGCCGCTTTATTACTTATTAAATGAACCCTCTTAAATACTTGATGGATTCAATTAGAACGAAAATTGCCATTGAAGTTCTCTCTCTCTCATCTCTTCTTTTACGATGATTAGCGCGGCCTCGGCAGAGTGGAAAAATCTACGAGAAAGACACTTTTGCGGACAAAATAGCGGCACTAGACGCTAGAATTTCCAGAAATACGGAGGCGCATCTTACGCGATCGAGGGCTCGATTACCGACTGACTAATTGTATAATTGCAGCCGTCGGCAACGCTAAGTCGCTCGCACCAAGTCACACTCCGCTGACGTCAACATTCAATAATTTGACACGCGACGTATATCGCCGGCAATATTCCGCTGCCAACTGCGTTGCGCAATTAACGCCGTTCTCAATTGCAACTCACATATATTCGATTGGCACACACCAACCACCTCGCTATTCTTACTATTTCTATTGTTAATATTTGGTTGCGATGAATTTTTTCCGATTCTTTTAACATCGATACGCCTAGCTTTTACCAACTGTGTGCAATTGCCGTTCAATCATTTTCTCTGTCGCCGAGATTCGTACGCGCGAAGACTGGGACAGATACGAGCAATATTCTATTGATACGAAGCAACATCGTCGCCTACGTTAGTAAATTTGAAATAGCGCATGGTCGTTATAAAATTGTGGCGTTAGGCCGCTAAGCTTCGTATAATCACCAATAAAGAAAGACACGAAAGAGAGCGAGAAGAAAAGGAGGGAGAGGGAGGGGGGGGGGAACAAGAGCGCGTCTATAATTGAGAAAGTCCATTAGATCGTCGACTCGCGCTTGCGACTGCTCAACGGTTGGCGTGACATAAGTGAGATTTTATGGGAGAAAAGACAACGGCTGCGCGTTCGTCAATTGGCCGAAATTCGGGCGTGCAAATTGAATGTTTTATTAGTGAAGGCATAGAGCCGCGATGGCAAACTATAAGGAATGCAGTGTCGGCCTGTTTTATTAATACAAGCAGCCGAGGGACTCCACTCGAATTGGAGAGAATTAATTAAAGCCGCTGAAATTGGATGCAGCGCGTTAGCCCTTATTCTGGCATGACACAATTCAATAAGCCCGCTAGCTTCCAGTCACTAGCGTGTGATACAGCCTCGCTTATTAGATGCGGGGAGGCAAGGCGCTTCTTTCTCAGAAGACGACTCTTGCGCCTCGACAATCGCCTTTCCATCTGACCGTTCTTCGGGCGGTCTAACCTCGCCTCGTAACGCCAGCCATATTCCAGCGCGAATTCGCTTGCATGCGCCAGGTTTGCGTTTACATGCAGCTCGATCAATTTATCAATTTGACGATCGCATAATTCAATGACCAATATTTATTCAATGGTCGGTCCGCAGTAGCAACCAATGGCAAAATCAAATTCGATTGCCTTTTGTAATGAAATTTGCCAAACATTTAACTGAATTTTTTTTTCTTCGAATCTTCAAAATGGATCATTTTCCTAACTTAATTTTGTAACGCTCGTTTGATCGTACGTCCCCTCAACTCCCTCATTTTTCCAACACTCGCCCGAGGCAACTCACGACCCCTAACTCCTCCCCTATTTTTTTTTTTTTTTTTTTCATGAAAATCGTGGCATGAGCGGGAATACAGAATTAGCAGTTAGTGGCTACATTTTTCTTTTATTTTTAACCCGTATGATAATTTTACGGAAACCTCATGAAATAATAACACAAAGTCGTGTATTCTATGAAGAAAATATTTCTATATTTTGGTTAATCTTGCTGTAAATTTAACTTGCCTATCGATTAAAATCATTCGGTATAGGGAAATGATATTTTATCGTTAAACAACAAAAGCTATTTTCATCTCTCGAAACATACGTAAATTGTTTGAATTCTATTTTTTTCTTTTCTTCAATATTCGTGATATCTTTCTTGTAGATACATACGAGAACAAAGTGGCGTTTGTAATTTCCATCAGCAAACAAAACATAAACATGACCGTAACTCACTTTATCGATATAATTAGTGATTGTTTGCGCATCGAAAAAAAAATTTTTTAATTTATCTCCGCTACTACGTAAAATTGGCCCATGAAATATTTGCGGAAAGTGCGATGATAAAAATTCCCGATTGAACGGTTACTTTTTCGAATAAATTCACACTGTCTATAATTCAACATCTGTACGAACTGCAAACAGAGGAGAGAAAGTTTTTCGAATAAAAAAAAATGTCATTCAACCATAAAGCAGAACATCGCGTGTGTACTGAAAAAATAACAAGTTTGGTAGACTTTTACGAATCGTTCCAATTAACGTTGTTGATCTGTTTGCGTGGATAGTAATCGATTGGTTTTCGAAAAATCCAGATACAGCCAATGTAGAAAGCAAACGACACCGAGTAAAGTTGATTTGAACGATGGCAATCGCCAAGATTACCTAATGGAAAATCTCGCGTAGCGAGACACTGTTAGTTAATCAAGGCAAACTGCTTAACAGGGGAGTATCCAATAACCCCAGCGTACATCCAATTTCAATAAATCAAAACGTTAGCCACACACGCAGCGGTTAAAACCACACGCGGAGTAATGAACGTGGCCTCGCTGTGTATCCGCGTCTGGCATTTGGCGCGCGTCGGGTTTGCTTATTAGCAAAGTGCAACTGGCGCTTAAATGAACGAGCCCGCCACAATGGCCGAAACAGCACGGGCCGCGAGAGATGAGAGCTCCGTTTATTATTCGAGAGAAAGCCTCAGGTGTGCCACTCCCCTAACTCCCGCGCCGCGCGCAGTTTGCAACTCCGGCGGAGGGGCGGCCAAATTAATTGCGAAGAACCGCCAACAAATTGCCGTCTGCCCGGGCGGCGACGTAGCTTACGGAATCTCGCGCGACGAAACCTTCGGTATTTGTATCGCGCGAAGGATGTAACGATCGCTCAGCTGTAATAGCCGGCGATATCTCGTTAAGAAATATTCTATATATACGTCAAGCCCGACGGCTTTATTAACTTCAATTCTAGTCGATTAGTGCGTGGCTGGCGCGCTTTGCGAAAGGCTGGACGGCGATGCTGCGCGAATCGAATATCGTGCCGCGCGCGTTGCGCCTTCGGACGAACGGCCGAGCGAGAGGCAAGCGAAGGGACGACCGGGGCGGGCACCGATCGGATCGACGCCGATAGGATGGAATTGATGTCGAGCGACGATTTATCATCGCCGCCGTTCGCAGTCTCGCGCGAAAAGCCCCGAGGCCCCCGGCGCTTCCTTTCGCATGGAAATCCATATACGTGTTTTCCGTCGGCGAGCCCGGAAACGGCGCGCGCTTGCGCGATGATTTAGGGACGGTGGCGCGCGCGGAATAAAGAAAGGGCGCCGTAAACGACGAGGGCCTTGGCGAGCGTGACGAAAATCGAGTCCGGGGCATTGAGATTCCGATTGACTTCCGGCGCGGCGCGGCTTCCAGTGCATTAGGCGCGCGCAGCCGAGTCCGGGCGTCCGCGCGAATAAAAGGCGCCCGATGCCCCGGCACGTTACGTCCGAGGGCCATTGTCTCCGCGCCGCCCCGCCGTGAGCCCGTCGGCAGGACCTCCGCGCTCTCCGATGATGCCTCGGAAGCGGCCGGCGGCCGGCGGCCGGCGGCAGCGAGCTTACTCGAGAGGCCTTTGTCGCTCGAAGCCTCAAAGCTAATTGGCCCTCGATGTTCTAGCGTTTGAAAATTATCCCGCAGAGAGAACGAGAGCGGCTTTATAAATCTCATTTAATTGTTAAGTAAGCAGATTGTTAACATTTCGGGAGCGCTATAGACTTGCGTAGGCGCAGCGGGCGGAGAGAGGCAGCAGCATTTAAATTATTTACGCAATCGATACAGCGATGAAGCGCGCGTTTCAGCGATAATTTTGTTTTCTTTGATGTTTGCCATCATCGGCGAGAGCGAGAGAGTGCGAGCGCGCGACAGGGGCCGGGGGAGGGGGGGCTAAGTGGTACGCCAAAAGCGACTAGGCTAACGCAATTAGAGTCGCTCTCTCGGCGCGGCTGTATACGCACGGAAGCGCGCGCGCTCTCGCTCATTACGAAAATGCGACACTTGTCAATTTGTCATACGTGTACGCGCGGCCCGATTCAATTTCGCGTCCCCTCGGCAATCTGTTTTTGATGTTTCTCCGCGCTTCGCCACTAGCAACACCTATGTGCGTCGCGGAAAGAGAGAACGAGCGAAAAGGCTATTTGTTTAAAAGGCTGCGTCTGCTGATAGAGAGATGCGTGATTAACGTAGATTAAATAACAACATGAGATGAACCCCTTGTGGAAATTTGAGCAGCTTCCCTCAATAGCCAATTACAGTTGGCGTTGCGACTGCGAGAGAGCGAGAGAGAGAGAGAGAGAGAGAGAGAGAGAGAGAGAGTTAACTGAAGAACGGAGAGTAGGCAGCAAACCGGTTGAATATTTAAAATTGGATTACAAACGACACAAGCGAGCAGTGCAGTGGTGGTGCTTTGTTCGAGCGAGCAGCTATTGATTGCATTTGTTTTCATTGGCCCTGCAAACTCGAAGGCAACACTCGCGCGAGGAGAGAGCGTTGTCTCGCGGCTGGTGGCGCGCTGCCCGTCAATTAATCTAAATTGAATTCTTCGCTCGCATCTCGTTGGCGGGGCCTGGCCGATTCTTATGCAATTCAGCGAGGAGCGGAGCGGCGAGGCCTCGCCTTGCGCGCCCGAAACCCCGAGCGCGGCGGAGGCGCGGATGCGGGATCGCGCGGCCCAGCTCGCGGCATTGATTCAATTAATCTGTCAATTTAGCAATTACACGGATGAGTTTGTTTGGCTCCCGCGCGCTCGCCCCGGCCCCGCCGTCAATTCCCTCGCATACGCGCGCGTCGGATCGAAAGTCGGCCGATCATCGACTCTCCGGCGCGTCTGCGTGCGCGCCAGCGCGACAGCGAATACGTAACCGCGCGCTGGCTCGAGGCACAGATTCAACGAGCTCAATTGGCGCGCCGAGCGAGAGACCTACGCCGCCGCGGCGGACCGATCCTATTGATTCGGTGTCGGTGCGCGCGACGATCCGTCTTGGACGGCGCTCGTCGTCGCCGTCGTCGTCGGGTCTACGGACGCCGCGCGGCGCCCCGGCTAACGAACGCCGATAGCCGCGAAAAGTGGCGGCTGTGAGTTACGGATCTCTGGGCGTGCGCGCGGGCAGAGGCAGGCCAACGCGAGCGCAGGATTAATGCGCGCGAGTCTGTCTTATGTGTGCACTGGCACATTATATGGCGCGGCTAGTACAGAGCGTCGGCCGTAAATTCCGAGCGGAAGGCGATTTAGCGAGCAGCGCTACGGGGGATAAATCTCGAAGAAGTCGAAAAGCGTAAAACAGCTCTATCTCTCTTTGGAGCGAGGCACGGGGGAGACGAGGAGAACATTGGTGCTGCGGCTCGCGCTGCGGCGCACACACACACACACACACGCAGAGTCCTGCGCAGGACGAAGGCGTGTCTTCTCTTTGACTATACACAACTCTTTTCCGCGCTGGCCGCACCCGAGCGCGCAGCTATATCAGTGACGGAGAAATCGCATTTTTATTGAGCTCGCCTAGCGCTGCATCTCGGTATTAACCCATCTCTCCCCGATCTTCCTTTCCACTTTTATCACTTTTCCAACTACCCGGCCGCCAACTTTTCCCATATAACGGCTGTCTTTTATTAGCCGCGAGACCTCTTTCGCCTCGCTCCTTCGAGAAACTCACTTGCCTCGCGCGCGCCTGTGTGCGGCTCGCGCGAGGCTCGAATCAAAGCCTCGTCGGCGCTCTCGAATTGCTATTCTACGATCGTTCGCGGTCCAATCGTTTTGCGCTCGATTAAGTAAGGGTCAGCTGCCGGGCGCTGCGCCTGAAAATAGCCGGCAAGCGGAAAGGTTCGAACACCAGCCGTCCGCTCGCGAGTGGCTTTTCGACTCGAGCAAACTGCGCCACGACGGCCAATCTGCGTTCAAATAACAATTTTCCGTCTCAGCCTCTGATTTCAATAAAACAATCTTTAGCGCGAATTGCCTCCAGTTAAGAGACACGGCTTCAATTATGTTAAAGACAAAGATTGAAGCTTAAATTACGTAAATTACGCGATTAAGCGACTTCGCCATCGGAATTTCTAAATAAGACACTAATTCAACTAGGCTATCCTCGTAATTCAGTATTACGTATACGGCTACTACTCGGAACAAAGATTGTCAGCTCGTCGGTGTGATGATCCCCCCCCCCCCCCCCCCGCCGCAAAGCATGCCAAGTTAAGCGCGGATTTGCTCTAAGCGATACTTCTTCGATAGGCAATTAGAATTTCGTGCGAATTTCGTTAAGTGAGCTGTACCACTTACACCGAAGCATGTGATTTACATTCAAGTTACTTAGGCCGCGCCGTCAATTTGCATCCGTCAGTCGGCAAAAGAATCTACGCTCTCTGTTAGAAATTTGGCATCGAGTTGCGCGCGACCAATCTGTCGGCAATTCTCGTGGCGCTTCGATCCCCGTGGAGCTCCAAGACAATATCGCCCCGCGGACGAAAGAAGGAATGACGCTTGAAAAGTGAGCGCAACACTCAAAAATAAGTCCCAGCGTGGCGGAGCTCTGTGGGTCATATCAGCACTGCCGCCGGAAATTAAATGCTGAATGTGTATAATTGAGACGATTGGGGTTAAAAATTTGCATGCCTCTGTGCGCGAACATTATTTTGATGATATGCAAAGGAAATTTACATGGTTCGCGATAGATGCGAGCACATATGCATATTAATTGGCTTGATTGAGTTGCGCGCGCCCCGGCAGCCAGCCAGTCAGCCAGCCAGCCAGCCGCTGTTCTACGCAAGTGCGACGTCAAGTAAACAGGCTTTTTCGTGATATTGCCCGGCACAGGCCGAGAAAAGAAATGGTCGATCGAGAGGACAGGAGGCCGAAACGGCACGAGAGCCGGAAAGGAGAGACAGAGAGCGCGATAGTGGAACGACACAGAGGCGTAGGCGTGTGCGACGTGTCTGCAGACGTATATATAATAGCATGCACGTGTAGGTGGAGAGAGGCAGCAGGCAGGCCCGTCGCGCTCGAGTCTGCTGCTCGAGTTGCGCACACATATAGCGGCTAATTGAATGAGCGCTCATGAGAGCACGTAATTTAGCACTTGGAGCGCGGTAGTGAGGCGGTAGTTTAATCGGGCGCAGGCAGTGCAAACGAGAAAGCGTAATCTCCGAAGAGAATGATGGAATTACCGAGCGACGCGCGAGAGAGAGAGAGAGAGAAAGAGAGAGAGATGGTGCGCGCGCGGCCGTCGACTCGACGATCGCAGCCGGCCGCCGATCGCGCGACGGGGATCGGCGGAGTAGCTACCTTGAGCAGCGGGGGACTGGAGGAGCAGTCGGCGCCCGGTCGGAAGAGCGTGGTCGTGGCCGTGGCTGCGGCTGGTGGCGCGCCCGGCGGCGCTGCTCCGGCGCGCTGTCCTGCCTCGGAGGTTGCCCGCCGAATCCTGGCGCGCCAGACGCTCGGGACGACGACAACAGCGAGCCGACCTCGTCGCGACGTGGGCCTGCGGTGCTTGGCGAGTAGCTCGCGCACTCGGGTCGAACGGTGACTGGCGGCGGGCGCCGCGGACGGCGAGCACGCGGTGGCCCGGCAGGGAGAGCGCGCCGATAGGGGATGGGCGGGAACGCGCAGGCGCGACCGCCTCCTTCTCGCGCTGGCACGGCCTTCCCGCCGAGACCATTGGCTCGCCGAGACGCGCTCGGCAGGGGGTCGACGACGCCTCTCCAACACACGCAGCACGCCGAGATAGATTCGCCGCTCTCCTCTCTCTCCGCTCGCCCGCGTGCGTGTATCCGTAGCCGCGAGACGTGCCGCCGTTCCCACCTCCCCTACCCGCCCGCCGATTCGCCTCTCTTTCTCTCTCTCTCTCTCTCTCTCTCTCTCTCTCTCTTTCTCTGCAGCCAGTCGACGATTCGATAATCCGCGGGGATTGTCACTTAGGCGCAAATTGAAAGGCGCCGCGATTGCTTTTTCATTAGAGGCGCCGCCGCCAGCGCCTTTGCGCCAACCATCACTCTCCGCCGAGCTCTCGCCTTGCCTCGCTTGTATATCGCGTTGGGCCGCAGGACGTTGACGTGCCGGCACGTCGCGCCGCCGCCTGCGCCTATCTCCGGGCGGTCTGACCAGATTCGGATGCGACTACTTGGAGCGATCGATTTCTGCGATTGGACGTAGAGCTGCCGAAACGCGTTTTCGCGATGAGAGCAGCAAAGACTCTTTTTAAAATGTAAATATTGTATGAGAGAGAACGCACAGCCGGAGTATATAACATTTGAAGGAGCTCAGCGGATTGGAGGAGCTTTCTCTATAGATATACTCGGTGCGGATGAAAGTTCTCAGGAAAAGGATACGTCATTCAATATCTTTTCGTAATGTATGTGCTTCTCCCCCCCCCCCCTCACTCACTCTGTGTATTTCGTAATGTTTAAAGAGGCCACTCTATCGCAAAAATCAGCGCGGCGCGCAGGCTGCATTCGGGTTAATAATGCAGAGCGCGCACTCGCCGACAACGGTCACGCGCCAAATAATGTGTTCCGTCGCAAACAAATGTCGCGGCTCTGTAGGAAGGCACGCCGATTACGCAGAAGAGTAACGACGACGACGAGGTTAGACTCACAGGTATAATAAACGGTGCGCGTAAACTCGCGAAGCGATAGCACCCGGATATGCATAACGTTGCGGCGCTCGCTACAGCGAAGATTGCTGCTTAGAGGTTGTTTAATAAAATAACTTGGTTAGAAGGCAAGAGAGAGAAAGAAAGAGGGAGTGGAGTCGCTGCTGCCGCGACGAGCAGAGGAGAAGGGCACTAATGTACAGAGGGGAGGAGAGACACTAATACACAAAGTAGCTTAAAGTAGAAAATTGTGGAAGCGTCGTGATGCCTGGTGATTGCGTTACCTCCAGGGCTTTGATTTAAAATGCAGCGCGCGCCAAGGGCTGCTACTGCTGCTGCTGCTGCTGCTGCTGCTGCCGCTAAGGGGCTGAAAGCAAGCGGCCTGAGAGAGAGAGAGAGAGAGAGAGAGAGCTTTCGCGGCCGCCTCCTGCCGCACAGCGCCCGCGCCGCCCGGCCCGAGCGACCGACGGACGCGTGTGCGCCGCGGCCGCACCATCGATCGCCCTAATGAATTGCAGCAACGCAATTAGCCGCTAAACACTCAACTTTGCGCGCGCGCGCTCGGCTGCTGCGCCGCTCGACTGACGGCCAGACAGCTCGGTCTGCGCGCACTCTTAGCTAACTAGCTCGCGCTGGATGATTTCGCGTCTCGTTGCGCCGCCCCCGTCCGCCGACGCCGCGTCGCTCGTCAAGCCCGACTCCGACGGGACGCGCGAGATTTTCACCGGGAAGGCCTCGCTTGACCTTGCGTGCGCGCGATCAAAGTCAGCCGGCGGCGCGAGTACGCGCTATATCTATACGCGCGCACGCTCGAGCTTCAATGTCAATCTACATCGCAATCGACTCCGGCGCTGTGCTGTCCTTTCTTGCTGCCTTCGCTCGGCTGCCACGCGGGACCGCTCCCCCGGGCATTGCGCTCGAGACGGAAACTCGACGCCGCTGCCTCGCGGATACAGCCGACGGCGCGAGCAGGTACAACGCGCGTATCAATAGCCCGAGCAATCGAATCGCACGCCCGCGACGATTCCTCCGCCGGCGAGCAAAGTGGATTACGCGGCTCGAAGGCGTCGCGCCTGAAAATCCCGGCGCCCGAATCCGCGCGATTGCCGCCGCTGCGAATCCCATTAGTCGTGCGGCCGCGCTCCACCCGTCGAGCTCGAGGATTATCAATCAAAGGAGAAGGGCGGCCGCGGGGAAGAATATCACTCCTGACGGCGGGTCTCGCGTTCGGAAACGAAATAACCGCGAGCGAGCGCACGGAAACTAGATTTTCATTTCAGTCCGAATGTTCGGCGGCGCGGGAACGATGATGGGATACGTCCTGAGAGATTCCCAGATGGAAAATCTCAAGACCGCGCTTAGGGGCCCCGCCGGAGTTAATCCGATGTCGGATGTGGAGCGCGCCGGCAGCCGCCATTCGGGAGCAGACGAGCCCGAGGGCTAATTGATATTGCGCGACCTCGCCCCCGCGTTCGCAAATCCATTCGCCGATTCGACTACATTTCGCCAAAATCGCGCGCTAATCCAATTGGCCAATTGGCAATCTTGCCAACGAGCATGTCGCTGCAGCGCGATCGTTTGGCGGTACGGCGGCCGGCGACCATGCTGCACCTCAATCATTGATTTTCCATGAATTACGCGTGCCGGCCCGCCGATGCCCAGCATGGTCGCGGGATCAACCGAGTTAAATGCCCGCATGCTTAATGTAGCGTTTAATCAAACCAGGCGCGCTCGCTGTGGCCCGATCACGGCCTCATTGCCTGCTAAATATCGCATCGAGCTCCCCGGCTTGCAGCGCCAAAGAAATTAATCGCGTTGTATATGCCATGTTTATTAACGGCCCGATCAACGTAGCGCCGCGGACGCGACGATCGGCGCAGACGGCCAACGACCAAACGGAAAAATTGGGCGCTAAGCAAATGAGCGGGCGCGAGTGTGCCGGGCGAATGTCATCAGCGAGCGAGCGATATCGGCAGCCTGCAGGCCGGCGGACGCTCGCAATGTATAGGAAAATCGATAAATTCCATTATACGGGCGAATGAAATTTTCGCCGGGTGAAACTGGCGCCCAGGGGGATGCGAGAGCCTCGCGCGCACCTGTATAAAATGCATATACATACATAATGCACAGTTTACAGAAGCATAAAAGGGATAAAACTGAGCGAAGATGATGCCGCGCGCACAGACGCGTGCAAATTTCGCGCGCGAGGAGCTACTTTGGAAATTGAAGAGTATAGAGAGAGAGAGAGAGAGAGAGAGAGAGGGAGCGCGAGGCTCTCCGGCGAATGAATAATAAATAAGGTTATCGTTTAGTTGATATTTCGTAAAGTCTCGCTAGCTGGGGTGCGTAGACGAGATAAGAGATCAAAGCGCGCGCAGCGCCGCGGAGCGAGGGTGTCCCTAAATCATACACACTTTACACTTGTGCCCGATCGATCGTCGGGCCTTTTACGACAATAACGATATCAAGCCAATATTCCTCGTCGATCGTCGCTCGATATGGATATTGGAGTGTCGTCGGGGCAAATGCGCTCCTCTGACTGTCTGCCATGTTCGGATCTGCCAGGGGGCAGGGACAGATGGAGACGTATAACGAGTACACAATGCGATGCAAATTGCTCTCTCTCTCTCTCGCTCTCTCTCGCTCTCGGTCGATCGGCTTCGGAGAGAATAGCAGCCGCCCGCGATGCTATTACTAACATCGCTATTCTATTATGATATTACGGTTCCCCGAGCCACAGAGGCCGCCGTCTCTCCCTCCAGGCGGCCAATCAGCTAACTCGCTAACTAGCGCCCACCGCCAGCTCTGGACACCTGCAGCCCCAGGCTACACTCGAAGCCAGTGCTCCTCTTGCCAGGCCCCGTGCAGGCTTCTCCTCGCGCGACTGCCCCATCACGGCTCGTCAACCGGCTCGCGCTGCGCGCCTCCACGCGTCGTGCGCTCGCCGTGATTCAGACCCGACGATGCACGAGGTGCAGCTCTTGCCCTCGATGCCAAGCGAAGCCACGCGAGAGGGCTTGGCGCGGCCGGGCGCAGCTACGCCGCGCGATATATTGCTCTCTCGAACGCGGGCAAAGAGATGAGCCCGGCCCGCCAGACGCGCCCCACGGGAGCACTCTGTATGCGTTAAGAAAGCACTCTGCCCTCGTTACCGCGCGCTATTATTTCCAAATAAATTGTTATTGTAATGCGGACGGAGCCGCGGGCCATTGATTTTTCACGATTATGCCGTCTACGTGCTAACGCAACCCAACCATTTCGCGCGCTCGAGAAATTTATACGTGATTCGATACAAGTTTCTCGCGTGACGCGTCGTCTCGTACGAAAGTGCGAGCAATTTTGAACTACGCCAGCGCTGTCACATCCAGGAACGAGAGTAAATCTTCCGAAGAACGTCAATTTTCATCTACTTTCACGGCTATTTTACATTTCTCAAGCGTATAATTGCCATATTGTTGCACCTAATAATCACTGTTCGTTGCTTTGGTTTTATCCAAATCGGGTTACAATATGTTGTATGCACGATACCTGCTCCATGATAGCGGTAAGAACGAAATTGGCTTGCTTAAACTTCATTAATTCTTCCATTTTCTCAAGTTGCAGGATTTTTCAATGTCCATTTTCAACAATATTACACCGTTGGAATTGAGTAGCGACAAACGCGGCTTAAAAGTAATTATTGCGCGAATATTCATGATTAACGAAATGCACATGTTGAATCAAATTGCCTGTGATTGCATAGGATACATTCGAATGCTTAAAAACATTGCATTATTTAGACTGATTCAACAATACAGAGTGTATAAGTTACAGAAATTAATGAATTT